GGACACAACATCTTTGTTGGTATGTGGTGCTGAGGATCAAACCCGGGCCACACGCATGCCAGGCGAGCGTGCTACCGCTTGAGCCACATCCCCAGCCCCTCTTATATTCTTGCTACTAAGTTTTTATTATCTCATGCTTAGCTCATCACATACCTCTATACTTTTTGGAATGAATAAATGGTTGGTTGCTTGGATGTTGGATGGATGAATGGATAAGTGAGTGAATGACAACTTCCTAAGTAGTTTCTCATTTCCTACCTCCAGACATCGCATTCAATTATACTATGAACACTATTGCCAATTTAATACTTGTAAAATGCCAATGTCATCAAGTTATGTCCTAGTCCAAAGCTATGAATAGTCCCTACTGAATGAAGAATAATTTCCAAACTCCTCAGCCTGGAATTCCCCAAATTCCCAAAACATGGACACAATGAACCTTTTCAAGTTTATCTCATACTCTTAGTAATAAACAATCTTCACTATACTGAACACAAATATGTTCATTTATAACTCAAATATTTTGCTTATGTTTCCTTTTTCTGTAGTGCATTTCCTCTTTTCTCTATGTAATCACATCATATTCATCTTTCAAGGTTCAACATAAGCCATACTTCTTCCATTAAGCTTTCCCTTGACTTCTACTGTATGCCATTGCTACTAAAATGTATAGCTAATCATATATTGCTAAATTATTTATCTCTTTTAAATAGTGCTTTTACTTTGCCCAACCACACTGTAAGTCTCTGGAAACTAAGGAGGGTAAATAATATTTCTTAGCTTGTCTCTACCTGCCTAGGATAGTGAGTACAACGCTCCATAGGAGACTAACATTTAGTTGCAGAATAAATGGCCTTCCCATCCACCAAGTGGCTATTTCTTAGACCAATTTCTTTTCTTTCCACCTTGGCACCTTGAAGAATTTTTTTAAAAGGTCTTGTAAATTTTTATTTATTCTAAAATCTATCTTTGTGAATTGATGTAATGAGCATTATGATAAAAACTTGATGATTTATGATTCATGATTCTTAAATCCAAGTCAGTAGTCATTTCACAAATTCCTATGAAGGCTATGAGGAATGTTATCAAACGATACTATTTTGCCTTTGGAAGACCTGGTATCAGCTATGGCTTTGCTTCCAGCTCTGTTTCCCAAAACAATGTTGGTTTGTTTGTTTGTTTTTCATTTTTTTTCCAGAAACAATCTTAATGGTAATTTTATTCTGCCAACAGTGGGTCTTAAATCTAGGTCAACCCATTTTGCAGGCAACTAGATTATAAATTGAGTTATAATAATATGGTACCTATAAACTTATTCACTCTTGTGATTAGGGATGTAGCTCAGTGGTAGAGCCCTTGCTTAGTATATTCAAGGTCCTGAGTTCAATCCCTAGTACCTCAAAAAAACCCTTATTCACTCTCAAATCTTATGGATAATAGAAATATTACAACTGTTTGAAAAACAGGCTGAGTCAACAGGAGAGCCTATGGGATCATTTCTTTTTTGGGGGGTGGGTACTAGGGATTGAACTCAGGGGCACTCAACCACTGAACCACATCCCCAGCGCTATTTTGTGTTTTATTTAGAGACATAGTCTCACTCAGTTGCTTAGGGCCTTGCCATTGCTGAGGCTGGCTTTGAAATAGTGATCCCCTTGTCTTAGCCTCCCAAGCTACTGGGATTATAGTCATGTGCCACCATGCCTGGCACCCATGGGATCACTACTATTCCAGGATTTACTAGTTCCTGGACACAGAAAGTTCTCATGAATATAGTGCTATAGTCAGCTTTAGCCTGGAAGATGCCTTTTACAGAAAATGTCCTTGTCATAGTACCAAGACTTTCAAAACAATTATTTCATTTAGAGAATTGGCTTTCTCATTTTCTCTGTAATAAGCAAATATAATTCCTCAAACCTAGTTTTCTCATAGTTTAAAAACAAATAACTTGTGAGCTTCAGACATTTGCTTATAGCCTTTTCTGTTGCTACAAAAATATTAAAATGCCATTCTTAAATTTACCCACCCCTGCCAGTGATAGCCTAGGCTAAGACAGCTGCATTGCCAAGAAAGGGAATGTAGTCATCCGAAGCCTTTCAACCTAGTAGTGTGAATTATTACAAACCCTGGGCAAGCTGACAACTGGCTGTTTCCAAAGAGACTCTGGCTCCAGATGCTCATAGTAATCCATCACCCTGATTATTACTGAAGCAGCTACTGTGTGCATGATCCTGTGTGGATGCCAGCACTCTCTACTCATTCCAAACAACAGATTTGGTTGGTGGGCATATCTGGACTGTAGACAAGACTTCCCTTAGGCCTCAACGAATTTCTGTCTTGCTTTAATTTCTGCTTTACTTGATTGGTCTAGGTGATTGCTGCTGCAGGGAAAAGGTTGGTAAAGGAGACTTAGACACAGAGGGAGGTGAGAGCTAGCTTAGTCAGACACCAATGTTGGCAAGAGGCTCCTTCCTTTTTTGTTCACTTTTGTTTCTGACACTCTATGCCCTGAGTATCACACTGATGCCCCTGTTTGGGGAGGGCTGATTCTAAGGCTGAGATGCAAAGGCTGACACTGACACTGGCACTGCTTCAAGGGCTCCCTAACACATACCTCCTGGGGGGAATACAGAAATAAATGGGCATGAAGCTCCTGAGAGGAGCTGATACTTTTCACCATGCATATTGATGGCTTGGCTAATCTCTGACTTAAGCAACTGTAGTTTCCGAACTTTAACTGGAGCCATGCCTTGCCTTCGAAAGGTGCCTTCAATCATCCATGCATTCTGATCTTTATTCATTGGACACAGAGCAAATCAAGATGTTAGAAATCTTTATAACCAGAGGTCCTTTGTATTCTAAAGATGAATTAGGGCATTTGTGTGAAAATTTGGAATAATTGGGTCATTTGTTGCACTTACAAAACAGAACAAAGGTAAGGCTGATTTCTGCTTTGTTGAGAATGTTTTGAATTTACGAATGCAGAAGACAAGATGTAAAGTAAAAGCCAGCTACCAATATGATGTGAAGCCCTTACTGTCTCACCATTTAGAACCCATGCTTGCAGCATACAAGTAGTGCAGTGTATAGGACCGGCCTGGGACAAACTTATGAAGGGAAGTGTGTCCTCAATTTCCTGTAGTTTCTATATACCTTCCTTTTATCTTTATTTTTCCTGTACAGGAACAGATGCCTGTCTTCATCCCCATCTTTTAAAGTCTTTGTTTTGATCTGGCTGTCACAGGTGAAAAGAATCTATGACACTGAGCTCATAAATTGGGGATGGATGGCTTTGTGTTTGACCCCATCCCAGAGACACTTATACCTTATCCAGTTTGTTTCTTAAGTAATACATAAAGCAATAGAGCTACAATGGTTAAGAGTTCAACACATTGGAGTCAATGGGCTATGGAGATAGTTGTGGCCAGAAGAGTCTTCTACAAGATCCCTCTCATGACACCAGCTGTGGAGGTAGTTCTTCTACTTAGTTCAGAGGACCCAGGCCTGAGCAAAGCACAGGCATAGAAGCTTCCTTTCAGTGAAGCATCTTACCATGCAGTGCTTGCCTATAGAGTGTATTTCCAGAGTTGGGATATGATTCTCAGAAATAGCTCTGTCATCTCAGTATCTGACAGGATGGAGGTGGTTGTGACCACCTATGGATCCAGCCCTAAAGCCATCTTTCCACCTGTGGAAACATGACTGTAAAAGCCTGAGATCTAGAAGCAGAAAATTGCTTCCCAGGCTACAAAGTAGTGTCACTAGCCTGAGTGAGGAAGAAACCAGGGGACAGCCTTGCAGGAACTCTCCTTCTCCTTAAGTATGAGAAAAAAAAATTTTTTTCAGTATTGGGAGTCACCCAAGGCCTCATGGCATGCTAGATGCAAGGCAAGCACGAGGAGATCTATTATTCATTGAGCATATGCCAGGGTGCCAGGCACTGTTCTAAGTGCTATTAGCAGTTTAATATGGTCCTCACAAAACACCATATGAGATATGTAGTTCCCATTTTACACATGAGGCTAAAGAAGTTTAGCATCTTGCTTTCATTGATAATTATTAGCAGAACTAGGATTCCAGATCAAGTCTGTCTGGCTTCAGACTCAACATAACCAATATATTATATCGTTCAATTCCCAGTCTTGATTTAGAAATAAAATAAGTGGGATAAAAATGCCAAGGTTTGGGGCTGGGGCTGTATCTCAGTGGTAGAGTGTTTGCCTAGCACATGTGAGGCACTGGGTTCCATCCTCAATACCACATAAAAAATAAACAAATAAAATAAAGATATTGTGTCCATCTATAACTAAAAATTTTAAAAATGCCAAGGCTTCGTGTTGGAAAATAGAAGTGGACTCAGAAGAGGAATGTCAGCCAGTTCAGTAAGCAGTTTGAGTCATAGGCTCTCTATATATTTTTCAGAAATACAATTTGTGATTTATTTTAAATACTGGCAATGCCATAGCAGTTCATTAGAACTATTGGTCCTGTGGTTTAAAGCAGACCTTGGGGGATTCTTTTAATGAATATGCTAGGCTAATTTTAATTAGCATAACAATTGTTTGCAAATGGCACTTGAGGGAGCCCACAAACAATTTGTTCACCAGTATTTTATTAAACCTCCCCTCTGTGATCCTATGGACTTTTTTGTTTGCATTATGAATGAGCAAGAAATAATTTGCTAGGGGAAGGTTATGCATACCAATTTTAACATCTTGAATATTGAAATTGACTGGACCTCCTCCCTGAGTATCAGTGTTGATAGTTCCACTTAAGGTGCTGCGGTAGGGGTCCTCATTTTTGTCTGTCATGGCCAAGAGAGTGGTCTTTGGTATTTGCCTGGTACAGACTTATGGGTGCACCTGACCAAGAAAAATTAATGGGCTTCACTAGATAACAAATGAAGGGTTATCAAAAGAACCGAATGCCTTGGGCAAAGTTTTATTTCCAGAAAAGAATAGTTATGAACTTGAGGAATCTTGACTTCAAACCTTCCAATCTAGTAATGTAGGCATAGTGGACCCTCAGTACTAACCCCAAAAACCCATCCTAGAGAGGCTCTATCTAAGGCAGGGTGAATAGGCAATTACCATCTGCTGCTCTTCTAGCACAGCCCACCTCTAGCAAACCTTGTTATGTAACACCCACTGCATAGGTGACTGGTGGCCCATTGGACAGCAACAGTTTGATAAGTGATATCCTGGCACTTGGACACTAAGGGCATTCTCATCTATAAGAAATTTCACTCATAGTAATTCCCAAGAGCTTCCTATGGCAAGATTTTTTGTGAGAGCTTCTGTCTTCTCAGTGGGGAGAACTTGGTTGTCCCATTAAATGGAGTGGAAGTAAAAGAGCCTGCTAGGGGGACATCTTCCCTGATTAAGTGGGTTCATGTAATTTATACATGTTACCATTTACAGGAATTACCTTGCCTTGTATTATTCCTGGATCATACGGTCCATCAGGATTCCCAGGAGCTCCCGGATTCCCAGGTATGGAATGAGACCAGAGAAGGCCATTGAGGACACTTTACAGGCCATGAGCCAAAAGAAGCAGAGTATAGCCCAGTAACATTTGAGGGTCAACAGTTCTCCCTAAGGGCTGCCTTAGGGATTGAGGGAACAGAATGTCTGCTGGAGAGGGTAATGTGAGGAAGCGAGAATAATAGAGGCCCTCCAGGAAACTGGGAGTCTTGACTGAACATCACCAATTATATCCAGGAATGTTTAATTCCCTTTCCCCTCACTACTTACATTTGGATTTTTAGGCCCTAAAGGGGCCCGTGGCCTCCCTGGGACTGCAGGTCAGCCTGGATCTCGTGGAAAAAAAGGAGAGCCTGGAAATCCAGGATTAGTTCACCTCCCTGAATTGCCAGGTAAGGAAAAGAGCTTCTCATTTGCTTATCCTTTGTGTCAGTGTGTGTATTTAGATTGTGGCTACCCTTGACCAACAATGGGAAGCTAGGTTTGCTCTCTGGTGTGGTTGGAATGGTTTGATTTCATGCCCAGACAAGATAAACCATAGAGCCATAGAGTGTCAGCATATCAGAGCAATAAGGGCCACTTGAGATCAGTGAACAATCTCTTGACTTTCAGATGAGAAAACTGAGGCCCAGATGGAAAGGACTTGCCAAAATTACAAAAACACTGGTGACAGAGCTAGGACTCTGCCAGGTTGTCTACTATAGCATTTTCCTGGGTCAACTCCTTAAAAGGTCAGAGAAAGAGATCTAGATCAGTCAGAGGGAAGTTGTCTCTTTCTGTCCCTTTTCTCACACCCTATTGTTCTGACCTGAGCTTCATGGGGTTATATTGCACCAATGGTTCTCAAACTGTGTTCCCTGGGCCAGCTTCTACATCAACTGGGAACTTGTTAGTGATGCAGATTCTCATACTGTCTGAAAGACTTACTGATCAGAAACTCCAAGGGTGGAACCAACAATCTCTGTGTTACCCCAGGTGATTCTGAACCGCTGCTACTATGGAGCTTGGGGCTCATATTGGGCCACCTGTCCCAGAGCTTATTGGAAACTTTGGTTCTCTCCACTATCCTCTCTTCACCCAAGAAGAGGGGGATATAACAGCAAGAGTTAAACAACTCCCAAAGAGATTGAGCTTCTACTAGAAGGCCTTGAGTGTTACCTGTGCTTTTCAGTACCTGTCAAGCCCCAGGAAGCAGGTTACTGAGCTCTGTCCATGGCCAACTTTATAAAACTAGAACTTCCTTAAGGTCACTTAGTACACAGTCTCTGCCTCTGCACAAGTCTCCCAGAATAGAGAGACCCCTGACCTTTATTAATATGTGACCTTTGAGGAAAAAAAAAACTGTGTCAGAAATATCTACCCAAAAAAATCACTTCTAAACATCCATGACCTTTAATTTTTGCTTCTCGACACTTAGGATTTCCTGGATCTCGTGGAGAGAAGGGCTTGCCTGGATTTCCTGGGATTCCTGGAAAAGATGGCTTGCCTGGGAAGGCTGGAAGTCCAGGTTTACCAGGTTCCAAGGGAGCCCCTGGTGACGTCTTTGGTGCTGAAAATGGTGTTCCAGGGGAGCAAGGCCTACAAGGATTGCCAGGGGACAGAGGATTTCTTGGAGACTCTGGCCTTCCAGGACCCAAGGGTGACTCTTTTTGCCCCTCTTATTTAACAATCTACAGAAAGCTTTACAGTAGCTTGTGTACTTGCATGAATATATACATGAATCTGGGATGATGGGTAATTAGGTGTTTAACATGAAATATCATTTTGTTCTGTCTCTCTTATCTAGGAAATTTTCCCTAAATAGACTAGGTCCATTTTCTTACCTTGGTAATTCCAGATGTGACCATAATGACTAATCAGATTTCTTGCAAAGACTCTAGCTTTCTGCTGGGGAAGGCAACAAGGCTAGAGCTGAGAAGACAGTGGTACCTGCAGCCAAGCTCTTCTGCTGGAAGTTGTTTTGGTGATTCAGTCTCTAATATGGCTATGATTATCTATACCCCTCCTTTTTATTAGGTTTGCATGGAAAGTCTGGCCTGCTAGGCCCCAAAGGTGAGCGGGGCAGCCCTGGAACACCAGGACAAGTGGGAAAGCCAGGCCCCCCAGGGTCTGTTGGTTCATATGGCATCAAGGGCAAATCTGGAGTCCCAGGAGCACCAGGTCTTCCAGGAACTTCAGGTAGGTTCATCAGAGGAAGAACCCTAGCCTGACAGACTTAGGCTCTGGGCAGTGTGATCTGGTCAGAACCTAGAAAGAGACTTGAATTTCCTCAGCTCTTAAGTTTCACATCTCAAGGCTTCCTGGCAGTGCCAAGAAAAACAGATTGCTGAAATTTAACTTCCAAAATATGACAACAAATCACTTCCTGCCCCCTCCCCCATAGCCTGATGCTCCCATTTCATGCTTACCTGGCCTCCTGCCTTCCCCAGTTAGAGAAGCCACCCATGCTGTACAAGTGGGTCTAGTGCATCCTACTGCCTTTTCTGGGGCTGTGGGGAGCTCAGTTTGGGTTGAGGAGGAGCTTGAGCAAAGTATGATTGCCAAAAAGTGGCTTTCACTCAGGGTGGGGCCCTGCACCCCCTGCTTTCAACCTAATGTTTGCAACTTGTCTTTTTTGTGCACTATGTCCTTACACTGCCTCAGTGACCCTATCATCTCCCCTTTGCTCCAGCCCCAGTGACTGAAGTTGAGTTATTTGCAGAGCCGTTAATATCCTTTTTATCCCCTTTGTCCTTCTGTGTTTCTGGGTCTTCACATAGGCTGCCTAGGTGAAAAAACACAGCACACAAGCTTACAGACTAAGATCCCCACCAGGGATTTATCTGATTATACACTATAACATGGCCTTGCTTACAGGGCCAAGGATCCCTGATCTCATGCTGTGGGGTTGGCTCCCATTGAATTTCCTTCCCTTGTTGAGGAGTCTCCTTCACAGCCTCCCAATGGAATCCAGGGGCTCCTAGCTACTTGATGTTTTTCATTCCATAGAAAGCTAAGTCAGCCATTCATTTAGGTCCTTGGGGGCCCAAATACCTCTGTCGTCATTGATTTAATCCTTTGGTTTTTTAATTTCCTTGCTTTGTACCTGAACATTCCACTTTGGCAGCAGCTCAGGAGGTTAATCCCATTGACCAACTTAAAGCGTGGTGAAAGACAGCTCAGAATACCTAGGAGATCAAATGGGCCTTGTAGATTTCTACAGTACTTGGCACTAGGGGGTCTTTCAACCCTAATGCCAAGGAACTGGCTGACTTAACTGCTTGCTTGAGGGATTAAAAGGGCAGCCCTGCATCCAGGGCTCCCTGGGAGGCTGAAACAACAGCTCAGCTTTAACCTCTCCCTCACCGATTGGCTTAGGAAACAGCAATTGTGGAGCAATTCAGGCTGGAAGTACCGGGGAAACTGGAGCCCAGTTGCCACCCTGACTTCCCAGAGCTCCATTCAGAAGCTAAAGCGTGAGCCACATTCATAAAGGGAAAAGTTTAAATCGCAAGGAGGTTGTTCCCCCTGCCAGCTATTGTGCCATGTTGGAAGTAATAGCCATTTGGCATGGCACTCTGGGTGGTAGATAGTAATGCTCCAGCCAACTAAGAACTCTAACTGCCTGTTAGCAGCTTGCATATGTCATTGTTAAAGGGCCATTTACAAAACCCAACAAGCCAACCAACCAGAAGCTATGGGAATGGGCAGTGGCCCAGATCTGGCCAGAGCCTTGCTTAACAGCTGTCCTGTGTTCTCTCTTGTGCTGATTCAGGACATCCTGGAAAGAAAGGTCAAAAAGGCGAGAAAGGTTACTCTGGATCAACTAGAAAAAGAGGTTTACCTGGGATAAAAGGCCTTCCTGGATCTCCGGGGCTAACTGGCTTCTTGGGGAGCCCAGGTTTGCCAGGAGTCACTGGATTGCCAGGCCTCCCAGGCCCAAAGGGTAAGTGAAGTGATCAAGAAGGCCAGTGAAGTGACCAGTGAATACTAGTGAGTACCAGCTGCCCAGCTTTGCCCCTTCTCTCTGCCCAGGAATGGGGAACAATAGAAAGGGAGGTGGGTAGGGCTTCTGGTGAAGATAGTTGGACAAGCCTAGTACTAAAGTAAGACTGCCTAAGGTAAGTCATAGACTACTTGCTATGTAACACTGGGCTGAATATCATGGTCCAAAAAGCCCAAGGCAGAGCTGGGGCTGTAGCTCAGTGGTAGAGTACTTGCCTGGCATGTGTGAGGCACTGGATTCCATCCTCAGCACCACATAAAAATTAATTAATTAATTAAATACAGGTATTATGTCCACGTACAACTAAGAAAGAAAGGAAAGAAAGAAAGAAAGAAAGAAAGAAAGAAAGAAAGAAAGAAAGAAAGAAAGAAAGAAAGAAAGAATGAAAAGCCCATGGCAGTACCAGCCACACTGAAATTGCTCATTTGCACCATCATGGAACCTGATAGCTCTTACTTCCTTTGATTGCCTTGACAGACATCACTGGTTGGGCATCACTGTTACTGGTTGGGCATCACTGTTTTAAGAAGGGGAAAGTGATTCAAAGGCACACAATTTGTTAGCATCAGAGGTAGGCTAGAGCTTCTCTCCCTGCCTCCTGGCCCTAGGACTTTTTGTCTGTGCCACACATAAATTCTAACTTGATGAATTATAAGAACCTCCTGCTTCATTCCTTTGTGTTGCTTAGTGCTACATCCCTGTTCAGGGGAGTGAAGTGATGTGTAATGACTAAGAGCTTAGTAATGACTGAGACTTAGAGTTAGAAAAACCTAGGTTTTATTCCCTTCTGTGAAACTTCTTAGCTGTGTGACTCTGGACAAGTAATTCTACCTCTCTAAGCCCCATTGGTTTCCTCATTTGTAGAACAGGGATAATAATAGAATTTATTGTTTCCCAACAGGTGAGAAGGGGTCCACTGGACTGGTAGGTTTTCCGGGCATTCCGGGTCTCCCTGGTATTCCTGGTGCAAGTGGATTAAAGGGGATTCCTGGGTCAGCCGGAAAAGTGGGAACATCTGGACAGGCTGGGATTCCTGGTGAAAAAGGTGAGTAGAAGAAGTGAATGCTGGAACTGCCACCCTTCTCAATGTTCCTTTTGCTTGTTGACTTTGTCACTTCTGTAGCTTATAACAACCCTGTGTTAAATAATAAGATTTGGGGCTTCTGAATAAAGTCCTTTAAACCAAAAAACTAATAATCACTTCTGAGTTAACACTGCAGAATACAGGCTGTGTTACTGAGATTTCCATTACCATACCAATACTGGAGAGAAAACAACTTAATTGAGGAAAGTTTTATTTTAGTTTGTGGATTCAGAGGTTTCTGTTCATGCAGTTAGCCCTATTGCCTTTGGTCATGTGGCGAGGCAGAATATCATGGCAGGGAGCATGTGATGGAGAAAGCTGCTTACTCCATGGTGTCTGGGAAGCAAATGAGAAAGAGAAAAAGGAAAAGACCAGAGTCCCACCATCCCCTGAGGACATTCTCCATAACTTCCTCACACTAGTCCCCACCTCTCCAAGTTTCCACCATCTCCTAGTGCACCAAGTTTTTAAGAAATGAGGTTTATCATTCTGCCTCTAGTCCCCAAAGGCTCATGATGATCTTGTGGTGCAAAATCAGTCCATCCCCAAGAGTCCCCATTGTCTGTGTTAGTTCTCCATTATTGTAACTCAGACCTTAGATAATTTATAACAAGGAAAAGTTTATTTTGACTTAGTTTTAGAAGATTCAGTTCATGGTCATATGGTTGTCTTGACTTTAGGCCTGTGTTAAGGCAGTACATAATGGTGGCCACGAAGGAAAAAAGAGAGAGAAAGAGGGCTGGGGATATAGCTCAGTTGGTAGAGTGCTGCCCTCACATGCACAAGGCCCTGGGTTCAATCCCCAGCACAGAAAGAGAGAGAGAGAGAGAGAGAGAGAAAGAGAGAGAGAGGGAAGGAGAGAGAGAGAGACCAGAGTTCCAGAGTTCCATAGCGCCTTTGGAGGGCATGCCCATAAAGACTTAATTTCCACCCACTAGGCCCTACTCTCAAAGGCTACACCACCTCAAAGGCTATACCACCTCCCAATGCACCACAGGCTGCATACATGGGGCCCTTGGGGGATATTTATCCAAACCATAGCAAAGGCTACATCCATACATCTCCCAGATGATCCTTGGAGAAGAGTTTTCTTATGGGTCTAAAGTTACTGATTAATTTTGGGTTTGTAGAAGGAGATTTACATACACAAAAATGCAAATTTGGGGAAATGGGAGTGGAGAAGAGGATGAAAATGGCCCATAAATAAGTCTGGGGGTAGCATGGAAAGAAATGATATGAAAGCTCTAGTCTATATCTGAGTCTTAGTCTGAGTCTATATCTAATCTCTCTCACACACTACCTAATGTTCATCTTTGCAGGAGACAGAGGTGATCCGGGTCCAGTTGGAGTACCCAGTCCAAGACCTCCAATGCTGAACCTATGGTTCAAAGGAGACAAAGGCTCTCAGGGCTCAGCTGGATCAAATGGATTTCCTGGGCCCAGAGGTGCTGAGACAGGGAATGGTTGCAAGAAATGTCCAAGAAAGAGTTTACAACCAGACTTGGCTTCCGTCTTGAGAAAAGGCCGCACAGTGCAGTGGTGTGGGTGGCAGCCAGGGGTCCAAGAAGGCTGACTTCTCTGTGCCTGATGGTTGCCTGGATTTTTTAAGACTGTAATTTACAATTACCACTGTGGAACTAAGGCTTTGAATCACAGTCTGTAACATCCCTGGAAGAGCCTGGCAGATAGTGGGGCATGGGCACTGAACTACTTGCCCTTGACTGGAGTCTCATCATGCCCCATAAGACTAAAAGTCACACCTCCCCTCCCCAAACCAATACCCCTCCTCCTGCCTGTGTCTCAGGGCGTCTGGATGAGCTGGTTTTCTCTTATCCAGAGTATTTTGCCAAGTCCTTTTATTTCTTTCCCAGGTGACAAAGGTGAGGCTGGCCGTCCAGGGTCACCAGGCCTGCCTGGAGCTCCTGGTTTCCCCAGCACTATCAAAGGACTTACTGGGATGCCAGGCCCACCTGGATCCATGGGCCTACGGGGCTTACCTGGCCTGAAGGGGTCCCCAGGGATCACAGGTTTCCCAGGAATGCCAGGAGAAAGTGTAAGTGTGCCCAGATCTTTGTCTTTCCACCAAAGAAGGGCCTGTGTATAGGGGGACATGCCCTCAGTGCCCACCTTACTGATCTCAGCCCACTTTCCAACCCCTTCCCCTAAGACATCCTCAAATAAAACCCTCTCCTTGTGTCTGACAGATTTTTCTCACTCTTTCTGAACATCCCCACCACTGTGTCTTTGCTCACATTATCTCCTCCACATGGCAGAGCCTCCTCTCTCTTCTGCATTTGCCAATACCTGCCTGCCCCTTAGGCCCCAGCCCAGCACTATCTCTGTATGAATCTCTGAGCTCCTGCTGTGCTGGCACTCTTCACTTCTCACTGCTTACATTGATCTAGTTGGTTCTGTGGGGGATCTGACTTCCTCAATGAGATTTCCAGGGCTTGTGAACAAGAACAACCTTACATGCTTTTCTTTTCTGCACCCCACTGCCAGCATCCCATGTTGAGTCAGGCACATTGTAAGAATTCAGTACAGACTTCTTGATGTTTTGATAGAAAGGTCTTTGAAGCTCCATAAGGGGCAACAACTAGCAAAAAATTTAAGCCTGGTTTCTCTGGACTCTTAAAAGTCAGAGTAGAGTAAGCTTATTTCTGTGAGACAAACTAGAGTTTGGATCTTGCCTCCATCACTTATTAGCTCTGTAATCTTGTGCACATTGCTTAATTTCCCTGAAACTCCTTTTCCTCCTCTGTAGAAAAAGAGAATAATATTCAAATCTCTTTCAGAAAATAATGAGGATTAAGTGAGATGCTACATGTAAAGTACTTAACATTATGTCAGACACATGGCAGGCTCTGCACAAATAGCAATATCCAGGGTCAAAATGAACTGGACACAATACCTGTGCTCCCTTCAGGTGAAGTCTCTGTCCTTTAAAAGTGTCCATCCATCTGGTAGAGAAAATTCAGACATACCTGAATGTATACACATACAAAAAAAAAATAGTTCTAAAATGAATAGTCCTGACTACTCACATAATGAGGAGGGATGAAAATAAAGTGGGAAGCCATTTTGGATGGGGCCCCACTGTGAGCAGAGGCTCATAATTAGGAGTAACTATGGCAGTGTGCCAGATGAGACCAGGTAAGGAAACAGGCAGAATGAAGGGGTGTCCTGGATGATGGTTTGGTGGGCACAGTGACACAATGCAGTACTGAACTTTCTGCCCAAAACACTGTGATATGTCTTTACTGGGTACATATCCAAATGAATCAAAGCCATATTTTGTACCAGTAGAAGAACTCTGCTGATAGCAGCTGATGTGCCCACTTCCCAGACTCAGTCTGTTAGACATTAGCCAGTGAGGGCAGCTTTTCCTGTGAAAATGATTGTAATATTTATCAAATTCACACTCTAGCACCTGCACACAAACAGCCTGCTACCTAGTGTCAGAAACACCTCATTTCTTGTGGAGCCTGTGGCAAAGGACTAGCCCTATGTGGTTAAGCAACACTTGTCTTTATGCGTCATAGTTCTAGAATTTTGACCAGAGTGCTGGTACCTGGATTGTTGTGTTCTGTATTTTCTTTCTTTTCTTTTTTGTACTGGGGATTGAATCCAAGCGCACTTTACCACTGAGCTATATCCCCAGTCCTTTTATGTTTTTCTTTTGGGATAGGGTCTTCTATAATGCTTAAGGACTATCTAAGTTGCTGAGGCTGGCCTGGAAATTGTGATCCTCCTGCCTCAGCCTTCTGAGTCACAGGAATCACAGGCATGCACCACCAGGCCTAGCATGTTCTATATATTCTAAGAGACTTGCTAGAGCAGCCACACATTGATTTGCCAACATTTCAATTTTGATAAGCAGTGAGGAATTATGAATGACAAGGATTAATCTTCACATAGTATCCTGCCCCTAATAACCCGAAGTATGTGCCTTGACCCCTGGCTTTTCACCTTCCTATTTACAGAATATACATCAGTCTATCCTTACTGTGTATAATAGACATCTCTCAAGCAATGGCTTAGGGAGCAGAGGGGGAATAAAATGATGGGGAGCCCTGAGCTCTGGGCAGAAATGATGGTTCCTGTATTGCTTTGAAGGGTTCACAAGGTCTCATTGGGGCTCCTGGACTCCCAGGAGCATTTGGTCTCCCAGGCTCAAAAGGTAAGGAACATTTTCTCTTTTCATGTTTCTCTATAAGAGGGTGAATTTCTAGTAGGCCCAGAGCTGCCTTGGGAGTAGACTCAGTGTTTATGGGGAAATGAATTGGCCAAACCCCATCTATAGTTCTATATGCAACAAAAAACATGATACCTACCAAGATCTCCAGGACTTTCATGGTGCCAAGAGAAGGGTGTCCTTTGGCTTTAGAGTTTGGCTCATCTGCCTTCCAGACTCAGCAGCAGGGGAGAACCTCAGCTCCTGTCTCTTCCCCTGATGAACTGAGTCTGTTGAGCAGGAAAATTTCCCATCCTTGCTGGTAATACAGTTCCATTCTGGCGATGATTTAGGGCCCCATCTATCATCATCTCTGCTTATACTGAGCCTAGCGATATATTTCCCAATGGAGATTTGCTGCATGTAACAGCATTTCATGCCAGTAGCCTGGTAGCACCCCAGATCCTGAGTTGTAATTGATTAGTCACCTTTTACCCAATAGATAATTTTGTCAAAGAGCTCCTTTGGTTATCTTGAATATGAAAAAGAATATGTTAAGAAGATCTCTTTAGTGCAGAATGACTTATAGTTTCTCCTGATCGTTTGAACAATGTCTTGATATCACCAGGAGATCAGGGCCAGACATTTGAAATTTCTGGTATCCCAGGACCCAAGGGCCAGCCTGGTGAATCAGGTTTTAAAGGTAAGATTGCTATATTTTTGTCTCATGTGCCTCACAGACTCATTGAAACTGAGAATTAGAAGGAATTTTGGACACGAACCCCAAGTTCTCCAACTTTCATCCAGTGCAGAATACATTCCTCAAGCAAAATAGCCTACTTTTTAAGTTGCAAAAGCTAGCAAAGACCTTTGGGATAATAGCATCCCTCCCTTAATGTATAGATTGTTATTTAAACTGTGTTTCTCTGACATTTCAATCTATTGCTTCCTTTTCTGGAAGGTGCCCCGAACAAGTCTATATAACTCTCAATCAGTTGGTACTTTCCAAATGTGAAGATAGCCACCACTGCACTTTTTAGAGATTTTGTTTGTTTCTTTAATTGTTTTAGTTTGTTTGTTTGTGGTGTTTGGTTTGGAACTCAGGGCCTCACGCATGCTAGGCAAGTGTTCTACCACTGAGCTACACACCCAGTCCCAAGAGATTCTTCATAGGATCAGATCCCTTCAGAAGTTCAGAATGGTTTTACTTTCCTGTTCATCCTTTCCTACAGAAGAACACACTGCTACAAATGTGATCTTACCACTCAGCAATTGTGTTGATTTCATAGGTGTGAAAGGAAAAAGTGGACTGGTTGGTGATATAGGTTTTCCTGGAAACAAGGGTGATCATGGAAAAGTTGGTATTCCTGGAGATGTTGGTCTTCCTGGCTCCCCAGGTACCATGCCACATGACAACCTTATTCTGAAAAAGTTAAGAATAACTTCAAGCCATGCCCCATCCTGAACTTCTGCCTTTGTTTCACATTTAGGACTTCCAGGGATTGCAGGTATGAGAGGAGACCCAGGACTTCCAGGTTCTTCTGGTCATCCAGGGACAACTGGGCTTCCAGGACCCTCTGGATTAATAGGACCTAAAGGTATGTGTATTTGAGAGAAGGAAGTGGAGAAAAGTATCCTTACCTCCATAAAGGACAACTACTATTTTATCTAAGAAGATAGTAGCTAGGAGCTAGCAGCTAGGGGTAAGCCATCCCCAAGGGAATCACTGACTGGGCCCATAAGGAATAATGGAAAAGAAGAATGAAAAGGAAAGAAAGTCAGCAAGCTGAGAATGGTGGCGCATGCCTTTAATCCCAGCAGCTAGGGAGGCTGAGGCAGGAGGATCATGAATATAAAGCCAGCCTCAGCAACAGCGAGGCACTAAGCAACTCAGTGAGACCCTGTCTCTAAATAAAATACAAAATAGGGCTGGGGATGTGGCTCAGTGGGTTGAGTGCCCCTGAGTTCAATCCCTGCTAGCCACCCCCAAACAAGTGGGCAAGCATGAAGGGGAAAAGAACATGGGCTTCACAGAGAAGAATTAGCAAGTAAGGTATTAGTTGCCCCTAACTGTAATGCAATCCCTGAGTTTGGGTACTTACGAAGAAAAGAAGTTTATTTAGCTTACAATTTTGAGGTTGAAAGTCCAAACAGAATGGCACTGGATCTGGTGAGGATACCCTCCTATCCCTGGCTTTGTTACCTCATTTGGGATGATATAATAGTGGAGGATATGCAAGAGGGAGAGATAATATGGCAAGACAGGAAGTCAGAGCTCTTTAGTAACAATTCACTCTCACAAGAACTAACACAGGGTCCCATGAGGAATACCTTAATCTCTGTTGAGGGCAAATTAACTACCACTAAGGCTCACTTCTTAAATGTCTCAACACTCCTTACATTGCCAAACTGAGAACCAATCTTCCAATACATGAAACCATATCCAAGCCATAACAGAAGTTGGTTGCCCAGGAAATGTTGCCATTCCTTGACTTAGAGATTGGGCAGTGAATCTCTTCGAGCTGAAAACCAAAGGTTTTTTATTACCACTTATGTTCTTGAAGATGCCTAATTAGTTATCATCCTACTCTTAAAGCCATATTTGTCTCTGATAGGAGTCATGAGAATCTAGGGTACATGGTGAAATTTAGGTGTGAGCTATACTCCTTTAAGGCATTAATGCACTTAAGGAAAACCAGAACTTTAATGTGAAGACCTTAAAGTGGCTTTGTGGGTAGGTGGAAAATTGTTGCCATTTCTGATGTTCTTTCTTATCAGGATTGCCTGGACCTCTTGGTTTACATGGCCTAAATGGGCTTCCAGGCACCAAGGGGACCCATGGAACTCCAGGTAAGGAAGACCCTCAATGGCAAGGAGGAAGATACCACCGGCTCTTTCTAAAACCTGGTAGGGACTAGCCCTTGACTGTGGTCTATTTCATATACTTGGGCTTACATATCTCTTCACCAGACATCAGTTTATGGTTCCTTATGTAAGGGGGGGAAAGGATAGGGCTTATCTTTCTGCCTGAATGAGATCGTTTCTCCAGAGCATAGACAAGTGGGCTAGACAGGAGGGCCTTATCCCTGCTGAGTCTGTCTCCTCCCTCTGTCTCTCTTCCTAGGAGCCAGTATTACTGGTGTGCCTGGGCCTGCTGGCCTTCCTGGTCCCAAAGGGGAAAAAGGAACACCAGGAATTGTCATTGGAGCTCCAGGGAAACCAGGCCCAAGAGGACAAAAAGGTGGCCGAGGTAAATGAGCTCATGTCAGGCCTTATAGAAGCTAAGGGAGGACTTGTCGGGATGGGGGTCCAGGTTTGGGGTTCATCAGAGCCATATGGACTGCAGGGTTGATTTGTTCATGTCTTCAATATCTGTGGGAGTCTCAAAACCCCATGGGGGCTGCTGAGAAAGAAAGGACAGGCTGTGCCTGTGGCTTTCCAGTGAATGGGTGTCAGGGAGCAGTTACCAAGTCCCCTCTAGTCTCCAGGTTCCCTTTCACTCTTCCTTATTCACATTAAAGCCTCTCTTGGTCAGAGCCTGGCTCAGTGGTCCTATAGGATAGTGCTTGTCCACTTAGTGAGAGACTGGCCAGAATTTCCTCAGTGTCCAGTATGCATAGGACTTCCAGGATTTAGGGAAGACATCATGGTACCAGAAAAAGCCCAAGGCTAAGAATAAGTATCTTCCAAGGACAAGCCCACAACATGCACTAAATTAGTATTTGTTGGGTTTACTGGAAATCAGATACCACTTGATCTCACTCCCTCACTCAACAGATTGTCTGAATTCTATTTCAGAGCCTCCCTTTCCCCAAAGAAAGAAATGAGTTCTCATTGATCCCACTCACTGTAAAACAGAAAATGAATTCAGTTTAGCATCATGGCTAAGAGTATGGGCTCTGATGACAGACCAGTGGGATTCTGATTTCAGGTCTCTCACTAGCTATATGACCTTGAAGAATGAAGTTCCTTGTCCCTCAATTCCAAATGAGCCCTTACTTGTTTGTTTCCGTAAAATGTATGTAATAAAAGTCTGTGCATGGTGGTGCAGCCTACAATTCTAGTGGCTCAGGAGGCTGAGGCAGAAGGATGGTGAGTTCAAAGCCAGCCTCAGCAACTGCGAGGCGCTAAGCAACTCAGTGAGACCTTGTCTCTAAATAAAATACAAAATAGGGCTGGGCATGTGACTCAGTGGTCAAGTGCCCATAAGTGTAATCCCAGGTACCCCCGCCCCCACCCAAAATGGATGTAATAACAGAATCTGCCTCACAGGTTTTGTGAGGAATCAGTGCTGGTCATTATATTATTGCATGTTACCTAGGGAAATGATATTTGCAAAATGTTCTGTTCCTCATAGCTCTGGGGCCTGGAGTCTCATTGCACTTAGTTTATGTTTATGTTCGCATAATGTTCATATGTTTCCCAGAAACTGTATTCACAAATTAATTCATTTTCTGCTGCGTTTTGAATTGGTGCATCTGCTGTTTCTGTGTTTACTCTATCCTTTGGTCTGGACCATCCTGTTCTTTTCTGAAAGCCAGCAGCTTCTCGAGAGGAAGGGCTCAAAGCAGGGCCTGAGCCTACAGAGACACAGTGGCTTCTTTCACAAGACATAGAGAACAGGGGATCAGATAAAAGCACAGCGCATTTTCTTTTCTGTTTGCAAATGTTGACTGGGAATGGTCATTAATTCATTTCCTTTAGCTGAGGTAATAAGACCACAATTACACAGTAAACAACACATGTCAAGATGGATACATTTCAGGAACATAATGTTGGGGTGGGGAAAGCATCTCACAAAGGGATATATTTGGTATGGTTCCATTGATAAATGTTCAAAAAGAAGCAAAATAACCAATATATTGTTGAAGGATGCAAATATTCATGGTCAAACTATGATAAAAAGTGAGGGAATGAAGAACACAAAATTCAGGAGTGGTTGCCTCAGAGAGGGAGAGAAGGGGTAGAATCTGTGGCAGGTGCACAAGAAAGTCCAAAGGTAATGTTATCTTATTTTTCCCCAAATAGGGTAGTTGGAACACAGGTGTTTTCATTGTACCTGGATTATTATTTACATATTATTGATCAATAATTCATCAATATTGATCAATATTGTATCCTCTCAATATCTAATTAAAATAATTTATTTAAAAACAATGCAGCATGTATCATACCCCCACCATAGGAACCTGTGATTTGATAATGGAAGTCAGTGCAAAATAAGGTTTTACCTCTGAGAAAACTCCATAGAACATTTCTTGTCCTTACCTTTAGCTAAAAAATTTTCAATTGCACTGTTGTTTTCATATTTTCATTAAATATTTAGAGACTGCCATAACATAATTAGTTTTTTAGGACTTTTGACACTGGAATGACTTGGAAAAATAGACTATTTTGCATTTAGGCCTGCTTAGTAGAAGTGTTTTATTCTTAATCAAATAAATAGATGAATTTTTATACTACTTGAAGTAAGCAGTGCCTTTATTTCAGATTTTATTATATATTGCTATAATTATAAATCAAGAAACAGGTAAAGGACAGAGGAGGCTTCAAAAACTGGCATGTGAAGCCAGGTGTGGTGGCACATGCCTATAATCCCAGGGAACTCAGGAGGAAGGATGAGGCAGGAGGATAAAAGGTTTGAGGCCAGCCTCAGCAACTTAGTGAGACTCTGTCTCAAAATAAAAAGGGTTGGGGATGTAGCTTTGTGGTAGAGCACCCCTGGGTTCAGTCCCCAGTACTACAAAAAAAAAAAAAAAAGTAAAAAATTATCTAGGAAGGGAACTTTAATAATCTGTGGGCTAACACACTGACTCTATTATATGTGGTTATGTAGTGTCATATTAATGTTGCATAATTTCAGCTGATATAAATATACAAGCCCTGTATATACATGTATATTCATGCATTAAATTATATACATGCATTTGAATATTCATTGAAATATCTTCTAGTATATGTCAGAATAATACATTTCAGGAAAATATACAATGCGTCTTTCTTTTCAGATCTTTACCTCCATGAAAAAGAAAAATACTTCAAAGGGTCACCAAGGCATAACTGACAATGCTACCAGTAGCAGCGCATAGTTTTGCAGATAGTTTTTCTTTTTTCCATTTTGTTTTTGCTTTTTCCTTCCTAGACATGAAATTATTGAATCTTTTCTCAAAATTTATATTTTTTATCTTTAGATTTCTTCATGATTTAATCAATTAATGTGCTAATTTTAAACATCTGAATTAACTCATCTGCCATCTTTCTTTACAAGTTTACATGTCATTTTAGATGGATATAAGATGATGGGAAAGTTAACATTAATATTGCTGGATTTTCTTGTCATCAAACAAACAAATGAATTGCAACCACCAGAAGTTTATCAATCAGTTTCTCTTCATTTGAATATCTTCTAGAATATGCCAAAGTAAAACATTTCTTCAGTGCTACATGTATAAAATTAACATCTACATATGTATACATGTGTCTTCCCATTGAGATTACCATCTATGTATTTGACATGTTAATATTAAATAAATTTTTAATAAATGAAAGTTTTGATTTTGAACATGTAGCAGAAATTGTTCCCAAAACAAAACATGTACAACTTTATTAAAATCTGAGCAAAAAACTATTGTATATGTATTCTAATAAATGACTATTCTCTTTATCCAAAAAGGGAGAAGATATTAGTACAGAGAAATTTGTTCTATAAGCAATGGCACAAACGTTCAGCTAATATTATGAATTACCTATAAAAGATTGCTTTCCAGTTTACCTAAAGATAGCTGAGAAGCCTGGAAGACACAGCAATGTGCAGCGCTCTTGCCACCTCCATTCTGACTGCCTGGGGCCTGAGGCTTATGTCCATAACCTTTGTACAGGATCAGACATAACTGGCTAACTTATGAAATATTGTTTGATGGGGAGAGGAGGTTTAAGAACATGTGAAAAACTTAAACTCCAGCTGCTCAGGCATGCCTTCTTTTATTTCTGATTTGGAGGAAATCAGCCTAAAATATTTCTCTCACCAGTGAAATTGAGGAGCTAGAATTTTCCACAGCTCTGTCCTAATAAAATTAAGCTGCAGCTGAAAAGGGGGATTCTAAGCCCTCCTCAGTTACTTTGTCTGCTTGCTGGGAAGATAAGGTGAGGGGAGAAGAGCCCTCTGCTGGCAGTGTCTGGTCTGGCTTCTATCTAAGCACTTCCATTTTCTCTGTGTGAACTTCCATTTTCTTTGAGAAAACCTGGCCCTCTCCTGGGCACACAAAGCCCACCCAGCTCCCACCCAGCCCTGTTTATTTATTCTTTGCAGGTTTCCCAGGTCTCCAAGGCCCTGCTGGTTCCCCTGGTGCCCCAGGCATCTCCTTGCCCTCAGTCATGACAGGACAGCCTGGTGACCCTGGACCACCAGGCCTAGATGGAGAACGAGGTAAAAACAAGAAGCTCCGAAGAGGACCAGCTGCCCCATTTTGTCTAGTGTTTGGGAGGATCCCGTGCAGCTCTGGGCCTGTTGCTAGACGTGCATGGGTCTGCTTGGCCTTACATCCCTCCCCTTAGCCAGGGCATTGGGGTTTGAACTGTCTGTATTTTGCTCCAAGGGTTTGGGAATGTCTGGGCCCTGGGACTCCATAGATGCCAAAGAAACATTCTCTGTCCTTCAAATGGGCTTTAACTTCTTGTCAGTCTGTATACCTTCAGCAGTGACTCCTTACTGCTCATTCACCTCTCATCCATCTTCCAATCTTATCCCTAGGTCGCCCAGGCCCTCATGGGCCCCCAGGCCCCTCTGGGCCATCCTCGGATCAAGGTGACCCTGGAGACCCTGGCTTCCCTGGAATTTCTGGCCTTCTTGGGCCCAAGGGACACCAAGGAATTCCAGGTTTCCCTGGGCTCCCTGGAGAACTAGGACTGAAAGGTATGGCTGTTTGGCCGGCTGCTGAGCCCCTCCCCACTTAGCAGTTAAAAAGAGTTCCTTGCTGCAGCCCTGGGAAGGGAGGCTGATAATGCTTCTCCCCGCCTCACCCCTGCCCAGTCTCCACTCTACCATCACTGTCATGGCAGGTCTGATTTGCTCTCCTTTACACTTTGCCAGGCATGAGAGGTGAGCCTGGCTTCATGGGGACTCCAGGCAAGATTGGGCCACCTGGAGATCCAGGATTCCCTGGGATAAAGGGGAAGGCAGGGCCAAGAGGTGAGTTGAGAGCATATGTTGAGTTGAACCTAAGCTCAAAGTAGAAAGGTAAGGTTTGGGGTAAAGTTCCATCAGGGGTCACTGCTGGCCATACCAGGAAGTCCTGGAGGCCTGAAGTAGCTGGATCAAGCCCCACCTCAGGAGGTCGTTTCTGCACATTGGGGAAAAACTCTGCCTCCATCTGTTCCCAGGACTGAAGGTCACTGCTGCTTTGCCACCACAGATCCTACCCCTGACCTCCTCTTCCTGCATTAATTCTTCATGAGTGGGCACCGGGATCCATTCAGATCAACACCCATTCATTTGCTCGATCTAGAAATGAGGAACTTTTCTCTCTATCCTTTACCAGCCCCACTATAACTTCCACACATTCCATCCATTAGCAAGTCCTGAAGAGTGTATCTGTTAAATGTGCTTTGCATCTGATCACTTGCTACCCCAAGTTTCAAGCCACCAATGTTTCTCAATCAGCACCCTTCCTCCCCACCCCCAACTATCATTTTTTCACATAGTAGCCAATAAAAATCTTCCAGCAGCTTCCCATATCATAGAAATAAATTAATAGCCCACAAAGCCCTATGTGATACCTCCCTTTTCATTCTCATGCCAGTCCTCTCCCTTCACTGCGCCTGTGTTTCTGCCACACTGACCTCTTCAGTTAACCTCTTTCAGGTATCCAAAAACACCAGACCTGATCTGCCACAGGGCCTTTGCCTAGTTCTTTGCACTAGTTCTACTTCCAAAACTGCTTTTGTCCCTGTACTCTTCAAATTACTGACTCCTTTCAATACTTTAATGTTCCTACTTGTCACAGGCCACTGGTTGCTCTCTCAAATTGCTGCACACCATACCACCCTGTGCTCCTTCCCACTGTCACTGCCTTATTTGTTGCCTTCATAGCTCTTCTCATGACTTGCCCAAAGATTAAGGACATTTGTCAAATTGTGCATCTTTAATCACTAGATTATTATCTCCATAAAGGTCTATCTCATTCATTGCTCTCTTCCCAGATTTTGCAAGTCCCTGGCACATAGTAAGCACCCAAGAAGTACTTGTTAAATGAATTGCCAAGCAGATCATTAGTAAGGTAGCTGGCTGGGGTGAGGATCCTAGGCAGCTGAACCTCTGGGGTTGAATTCATCCCCTCAGTTGCTGTATCCCTGAGCTAAGGCACAAAAATGAGTATAACCTAGTCCTTGACCTCAAGGAGCTACCAAGGCACTGGGTGATAGATGGGTAAAGAGGAAAACTGTGCAAAGGGTGGTGAGAGACATTCTTGTACTTAGTGGGGACTGTGAGGACAGACAGGGCAGAAAGGAAATCTGCTGAAGCCAGCCTGTCTTCCTTTTCCTCAGCCTGACAATGCTGTTACCCCCCACCTGCCCACAGGCTTCTCCGGTCCCCAAGGTGCTCCTGGACAAACACCCATTGCAGAAGCTGTCCAGGTTCCGCCTGGACCCTTGGGTCTTCCAGGCATTGATGGCATCCCTGGTCTCCCAGGGGACCCTGGCATTCAAGGCCCTGTTGGTCTTCAAGGTAAGGATGGCACCAGAGAAAGGGGACTTCTTAGGAAGCTGAAATGGCCTTGACTAAGGACTGAAGCAGCTGGCTTGTAACTCCAGCTCCAAGGGAGCACCTTCATCAGCCTTTTGCTTTGCTTCTTTACAAGGTTCCATGCTTCTTGCCAAGTAGGGGAAAGGCCAACAGAGTCAACAGGGTAGTGATTGTATCTGACTTTGGAGAATGTGTGAGCACAACACAGTCACTCTTCCAAATAGCTTGTCCCTCTCTAAAGTGCTGATGAGACATGGAGGGACTGTTGTGGTGCATAAAGGGCAGCATGAGGCATTGGAGAAAGCTCAGGGCTTGGGGACAGGAAACTTGACTTCTCAAACCTAGCTTGGACCCAACTAGAGCAAGTTAGCAGTCTCCTGGGCCTCAGTGTCCACACTTTTGCTATGGGATGCTGGCAGTTGCCCTGCAGACTTCTTAGCATTACTGGTAGGATGACAGGAAGGGAGTGTGTGGAGGGCCTCAGAAAAGCTAAGTGGAAAGTATGGTGTCAGGGCAGAGCTGACCCTTTGAACTAACAACTAGCCCAGGCAGGCTTTGGCTCTAACACTCAGTGTGTGTACCAAGCTGTCAGTCAGTAAATCTTTAGCATGACACGATAGATTCCCCTTTCCCTAGGGAGGGCACCACTGGATGCTCTACATTGAGCACCACCACTGTTCCTGTTTTAGTCAGCTTTTTTTCTGCTGTGACTAACCCCACCAGCACAGTTGTGGAGGAGAAAAGGTTTATTCAAGGGCTTACAATTTCAGAGGTCTCCATCCATAGACAGCAGGCTTCATTCCTTGGGACTCTAGGTGAGGCTGAACATCATGGCAGAGTATGTGGCAGAGGGAAGCAGCTTACATGGTGATAAGAAAGCAGAGAGAGAGAGACCTCCACTGGCCAGATACAAATATATACCCCAAAGCTACACCCCAATTTGCACCTCCTCCAGCCACACCCTACCACTTCAGTTACCACTCAGTTAATCCCATTCAGTGATCGGGTTAAGACTCTCACAGTCAAATCATTCTCCTCTGAACCTCCTTTCACTGTCTCACATGTAAGCTTTGGGGTGAAACCTGTCATCCAAACCATAACAGACTCCATGGGCTTTCTCTCCTGCAGGCTTCAAAGGTTTACCTGGCATTCCTGGCAAAGATGGGCCCAGTGGGCTTCCAGGCCCACCGGGGGCCCTTGGTGATCCTGGTCTCCCTGGACTGCAAGGCCCTCCAGGATTTGAAGGTCTGATGGTGTCACACCAGGGAGCAGAGGGTTTCTGAGGGTTTGAGGCTTGAGGATGAGTCAGAGACTCAAATCTGAGACTTATTCAGTTGATGGTGAAGTTTGACTCTACCACAAGGCTCAAAGCTGTGCTGTTGCTCATTCACACCAACCACCCCATGAGCCTGTGACCCCACTAACTAATTGCAGAAGGTGAAGAATTGATCCAAATCCTCTTCTGGGTTCGCTTCCAGATCTTCAGCCACAGGACTCTATACCACAACATGGTCCCCTGCCCTGTACCTCCCCTTTTCTGCCTGAGGATTCTGACATGGATGGGAGGGGGTGGTTCAAGGGATAACATTTAAGATGAGGAATGTCCGTCCATACCTTTACTACTTACCTTCCATTTTATATCAAGGATTGCAAATCAATGTTCTGATTAGAGAACATTTCTGAGACTGAGTGAGAACCTTATTGGAATCCATTAGCCAAATCCACCATGGGCAGGAAAGGAGGGCAGGGTTCAACACTGCTTTTAATGCCTCTGATTCAGCAGCTACATATTTATCTTTTTTTTTTTTAATGGGATTGAACCCAGGGGCACTCAACCACTGAGCTACATCTCTAGCCCTTTTTACTTTTTGTTTTGAGACAAGGTCTTGCTAAGTTCCTTAGGGCCTAAGTTGCAGACACTGGCTTTGAACTTGCAAACCTCCTGCCTCAGCCTCCCGAGCATCCCAAACTGCCAAGAATATGGGCATGTGCCACCATAAACTGGCAAAGCTTTTATTGTTCATACTGGGACCTGAACCCTGAGCCTCAAGCATGCTAGGCAAGTGTTCTACTGCCAAGCTATATCCTAGCCATAGTTATCTCTTATGAAGTTCTTCAAGGCTGGGCCCAAGAATGATCACACACTACCCTCTCATCCCCACTCATAGTGAGCTCAAGGACAGGTAGCTGGGAGGTGTACTTTATAGCCAGGTACATCTGAATTAGAGTTCTGACTTCATCACTAACTAATTGCGAAGCTTTGAACCTCAGACTCCTCATCTACAAATTGGGCTAATAATAGCACCCTCTCCTAGGGTGGTTGTGTGGATCAAGTGAGATGACCCACATATATAATGTCCCTTGCACAATGTGTGGCACCAAGTGAGTAGCTGATGTCATCATTGGCTACACCACGCTTCCCTTTTCTACTCTCTCCCTCTCAGGAGCTCCAGGGAAGCAAGGCCCCTTTGGGAGGCCCGGAATACCCGGGCACAGCGTGAGAGTGGGCTACACATTGGTGAAGCACAGCCAGTCGGAACAGGTTCCCCTGTGCCCCACTGGGATGAGCCAACTGTGGGTGGGTTACAGCTTGCTGTTCGTGGAGGGGCAGGAGAAAGCCCACAATCAGGACCTTGGTAAGTACTGGCTCTGAAAGCTAACCCTAGCCACCTGTCAACATGATGACCAACAGCTAATCTCTCTTTTCCAATCCCTTTGGGTCCACTGTTGTGTAGCAGGTTATAAGCACCAGCTCTGGAGTCAAGTGAATTGGGGTTCAAATGCTGACCCCACCATTTACTAGCAATGCATCCTGGATGAGTTATTCAACTTCTCTAAGCTTCTACTTCATCCTTAATGGAACAAAGCTAATTCTACTACCTCCACATAGGGAAGTGTAAGGAGCACATGAATCACCCAATATAAAACACTTTGTATAGCGTTTGGCATTTAAGCTTCCATTAATTATCAGTGATTATCAGTAACAATAATAACATGGCCTGCAGGACAATGATGATTACCCAAGAATTAATTGCATTATCTGTAGGTGTGCCAACTCTTAAATGTGGAGTCAGTCTAGTAAATGCTGGTTTTATAAAGCAGATTAATTACGGAGCAATTATTCAATTTATAAAATAATTCTCATCATTATCAAAGTTCCCTGGTGCATTTACATATGGACAGTGTCACAGGACTGTCAGGAGAGAGCTACTGTGGTCTGGTAAAGCATTTGGATGTAAACTCAAACCATCATCTAGTTCAATCCTGGTGGTGCTGCCCCTTAGCCAGACCTTACCTGTCCTTGCCCACCTTCTCCTCCCAGGTTTTGCTGGCTCCTGCCTACCTCGCTTCAGCACCATGCCCTTCATCTACTGCAACATCAATGAAGTGTGTCACTATGCTAGGCGCAATGATAAATCCTACTGGCTCTCTACCACTGCCCCCATTCCCATGATGCCTGTTGGCCAGACCCAGATTCCCCAGTACATCAGCCGCTGCTCTGTGTGTGAGGCTCCTTCTCAAGCCATTGCCGTGCACAGCCAGGACATCACCATCCCACAGTGTCCCCTGGGCTGGCGCAGCCTCTGGATTGGGTACTCATTCCTCATGGTAAGGCCCTGAACTGCCCCTCCCCCCAGCAGAGGGCTGGAAGCCTTGGGATTGCCCCTCAAGATGGGTTTCCAGGCTCAAGGAACACTGGGTAAAAAGCAGAGCATGAAAAGAAGAGAAATGCTTGACCTGGGCTTGGCTAATCACCAGAGATCTCAGTTCTGCATATAGTTCTGGATGTGGGGGAAGATGGCAGTCTGTACACCATGTTTCAGGATGGAAACAAATATGAATTCCAGGCTAAGGCCCTATCATTTCTATGCCTGCTTTAGTTATGCCACCACCAAGGAAAGGACAAAGCACACTAAAATCTGAGGGGACAGTGAGGGAGAGGCTAGCCCCAACTCAGGGCCAGGACATACTCTCCCTGGTCTGTCTGAGCATGGCATGCCTACTTTTGTCTCACCCTCCAAGACCCATTCTGGCCACTGCTATTTCCTCCTGAAAGGCTCAGATGAAGACATGATGTATTTATATGCCATCACTGGCATTTTTAGTGCCTCTTCATTTGGGGGAGAAGGCAGTGGCCAGCTATGTTATGTTTGTTGATAAGAAAGAGAACAGATATAAGCCCAAGGAGGCATCAAGTCACTCACCCAATATTTCATGAACACATGGGGATGTTTCATCTAATGAAAAGTCAAGTTAAGAGCCAGGACAACCCCTGTGGAAATCAGTGTGGCACCCACTGAAATACCCTGCCTTGCCAGAGCTCCTCTGTTTAATTACCAGGGATGAGATGGTGAGACAGCATCTTTGAAGAATTTTCAAAAGCCACAAGCTCCTGTACATTAGTGTACCTACTTTGGGATATGGAACTTCTTTTTTATGCCCTGGGTATAACATTGGGCAGTTTGTCCCAAAGTAATGCAAAGCCATGTCACCTGTTTTTCTGTTCTGTTCTGCCCACAAACCAGGAAATAAGGAGAAAAGGCCCCTAAGCTTCCACAAAAAAAAAAAAAAACATAAAAAGGCTATGTACTCAATCACACGTACTTTGCTCAACCCTTATTCAGAATCTCTTCGCTCTTATGTTACATAATTCCAACATACTAGGATATTTGTCCTCTTAAGGGTAAAAGTGTGGTCTGCCTAATAAGACATCTTGAAACAAACAAAAAGATACAAGAGAGAAAATAATTTAAAGGAGACCCAAGAATTGTACAAGCTGCATAATTACTCCCTGTAAAAACTGACATTTACCATGACAAGCCTGAGTCATCTACAAAGTTGAATATACACATTGCCTGATGTTTTGTAAAGTAGGGAGATGTGTCCTGTGTTTTAGCAAGTTTTCTATTTTGAGGGTCAAAATGAGGAAATCTTTGCTGCTTCAGTTCTCAGGAAGGGTCACTTGAAAGGTCATATAGAGACTTTCACTCTCTCAAAGTTCTGAAAAGTTAGGGGTCCAACTTGGGCATATGTCCTGTTGGTCATTTGTTGACACAGGTGTATACTGAGCCTCTTCCCCCACTTTATGTGGTCCAGATGACAGCCCAGCTGAGGTGAAGGGAAAGAGGTGGGGTATGGGGAGATGAGGGGCTGCTGCCTGTGGATACAGTGACTGGAGACCCTCAGCTCATGAGTGGCCCTGAAACCAAATGCTGAGGAAATCCTCTGCAATGAGGCCAAATACAATGAGGCTTTCTTTTACTTGGCAGCTAACAAACACTATATGTCACCCTGAAGGGTGTGTGTGACACAGATTGAAACTATAAGTAGTTCTAATAAAGGGAACTTCAGGGTATGAGCTATTGATGGACATGCTTCTAAGGGAGGGGTCCTGGAGGAAGCAGTTTGTGGCATACTGTACACTCTTTCCCTTCTTAGAGAACCCTAGGGAATTTACCTTAATCCAACCTTTCTCAGATTCATTTGCTCAGAGTTTGGGAACCCCTGGTTGAGATGTAGTCATTAGCCATGAATAATGGGTTAGGAAGGAACTAAGGAGCTTGGAGGGGGGGCGCCCCAACCCTGAAGGCTGCTACAAGGGAGGATGTACGGCCTCTGCCCCTAAAACACAGTTTGGGGCATGTTGGCTAGAAGCTAGGACAGAGCCAAAGGACAAGTGCTTAGGAGTGGAGCACGTGTGCCCTCCTGCAGCACCTCCCCATGCCAGGCTCTGGCAGGCATAGCTCACCAAACAACCTCCCGTCTGTTTCAGCACACTGCTGCTGGGGCGGAGGGTGGAGGCCAGTCCCTGGTCTCCCCTGGCTCCTGCCTCGAGGACTTTCGGGCCACTCCTTTCATCGAGTGCAGTGGTGCCCGAGGCACCTGCCACTACTTTGCCAACAAGTACAGTTTCTGGTTGACGACAGTGGAAGAAAGGCAGCAGTTTAAGGAGGAGCCAGTGTCTGAAACACTGAAAGCTGGCCAGCTCCATACCCGGGTCAGCCGCTGCCAGGTGTGTATGAAAAGACTGTAGGGTGGCATCTGCCACTCTGCCCCTTGCCCTCTCTACCCCTTCACAATGGCCACCTCACAAACCTGAACAGTCTGAAGAAGGAAGGCCTGAGCCCTTTACCTATCTGTCAAATTGTACATTGGAGTCTCACTTGGGCTGGACTGCTAGACATTAGCCACCCAACCCTCTGCCCCAGTAGATGAGCTCACCCTGCTGAGATCTGCTGTTCCAAGTTTCCATCAACCTGGTGCTACCATTTGATTTGGATATTTGTGTGACTATTCACGGCTACCTCAGAAAGCTTTGCTGGGCCACCACTTTCTCAGACTGCTAGCCTTCCTCACTGTCTTGATCACAAAAGTCTTCACAATAGTTAAGAAGTCATTGCGTTATGACCAGAGGCCACCACACATTATTTGGTTAAACCAGAGCCCAGTGTTTCCACATTAAAAATTTTTTTTTTCTGACTGAACATTCATAGGTGGCTGAATTCTGCACAAAGCAAGCCCTCACTATTCAAGGCAGTCCCCTATATCTAGGCAGGCAACAAAACTAGAATGAGGTGCCAGTCAGTAGCCTGGGGTGACTCTGGCTCCTTCCAGAGTAAGCAAGACTGGGCCCCATTTTGCTTAAGGAGGCATGAAGGCCAGCAGCTGAGAGGGGCCCAATAACTCTATAAGGTCCCACACAAATCACTTCCTCCAGGCCGGCTGTCCCCCAGCCAGAGACAGAGAACTTGGCCCAGTCCAAAGGAGAGCAGAGGATGTAACATATGTGGCCAAACCCATAAAAGGAAATGAGAACCACAACCCTCTTTCCTGGGCCAGGGGTAGAGGGTGGATGGGTAAGGAGGTGTGAATTTTGCTTTTGACTCCAGGAACAAAAGGGTAAATCTTGTGTCCTGATTTCTCAGAAGTCCCTGTTTATTCCAAATGCCATCCAGATGTGTGCAATGTGGCAAATTGAAGCTGCAGTGTTTGGGTTCCTTTGCATTCTGAAGCTATTAGAGACTTTCCATTAAATTGGTCATCTGACTGCTCTTTTACAGGTAGCCTTTTAAACTATTTTGATATGTTTTTCAAACCTCATAAAAATCTAGCACATTCCTCTCATTAGCAGTGAGCAGACTAAGCAAGCCTGAGTTGGCCATAAAGTATACTGTATACTGTTTGTGGGATTTGTTTTAGCCATTTTCTTTAATTATCAGTTTCCCAAAACATTCTTTGCTATGTTGACATGAGACAATACCTTCCAGGTGATTCTGTTCCCTTAAGTATTATGTAAACTGTGCCAACACAAAGCATAATCAGTATAAACTGAACTACTGTCACCTTCATCTCCTAGCTGAGTAATAAGCATAGTATCAACTTTGTACATAGCAAATAAAATGAATAAAACCTGAACATTTGACTCTTTTGATTTTCTTTGATGAGAACTTTTCTAGCATCCTTTCTCACTAACCTCTATTATAAAACAATTTTCGTGGATCAAGAAAATTGATCCAAGTCAGGGTTGAAGAAGTCCTCTACTGGCCAACAAATCCATAGCATACTTCAAGCCTACAACTGCTTTTAACCTCATCACTTGCTACTCAAGAAAGGATTTTCTGTACACCTGTGCCCACAGGATCATTTACGGATAAATTAAAAGTAGAGAGTTATTCAAGTCATTAAAATCAAATTTAAGCTATACATGTGTGCATATATGCATGTATTTATGTGTGTATACTTAAGTATGTACATATATTTATATATGCATAAAATCCATCCTCTGGAAGGATAAATAAGAAATTAATAACATTGGGAGATTTCAAGGAAGGGAACTGACCCATGGGAAGGAGATGGGTTTTACTGAGTACCATTTTACATCTTTTGACTTTTAAATCTTTGGAATACATTAATCTACAAGGAAAAAAGAAAAACATGGAACCTAAAGAAAGTGAATTGGTTGGTGGTAGTTTCCAAATCCCACATGCTAGTCTCCTAGGAGACTGGGTTAAGTATAGGGGTGAAATGCAGAGCCATGTGAAATGCAGAGAATTAATAAGGCAAGGAAAGGAAAACAGGAAGATATTGCAAAGACTTGTGTATACTCACAGCAGAGTGGTTAGCAGAGCTAATCTGATGAATATATATTTTAAAATTTAGTAAGTTACTAGTCTTGAAATGGTTTGGAAATGTATTTAATGCACAGATTGAATGTCACCACATGATTCATTCTTTCTACATATGGCCATCTACCAAAACAGTATAATTCAAACACAATTTATTTTTAATACCTCAAACAAAAACCAACAATTTAAGTGCGTGGCAAGCTACAGCCTGCAGGCCCAGTCCAGCCCTTCACTTGTTTTTGTGAAGTTGTGCTGGCCTACAGCCATGTTCAGTTACATGCATATTGTAAGGCTGCTTTTGCACCATTGAGTAGTTGTGACAGAAGCCACATGGCCTGCAGACTAAAATACTTACAATCTGGTCCTTTAGAGAAAAAAAATGTTCTGACCTATGATTTAAGTGATCATGATATGATTTAAAAACAAGTTGACTTTAGACAAAAGTACCAGTAAGGATGGAGAGACGGACCCATCAAATAGCAAGATAACCAAGAAGTGTACATTTGACATACTTTCCTTGACAAATGTGTGGATATATATTACAGTTATTTAAAATACATATTCAAATAATTTGACAAGAACTTTTTCTCCCTGATTCAGTTACTTTATTATTTGAGCGAGAGAACAGATTGCTTCTTATTATTTAGTTCCATAGAGGTCACACCTGAAAGAGTGATGAAGAACAGTGTAACCATCTCTCATCTGCTGGTGCTTGAAGCAAGATGATAGTTGCTGTCTGTCTTCCAAATGTCCTCATTTCAGCTGCTGAAGATTTTCTGTAGCCATGTAAAACAAGCTGAGAAGCAATGAACTCCTCCTAAACTTTCTAGACTCCATGACTGTTCTATTTCTTCCTGGGGAAGGGTTGTTGTCATTGTTGTTGTTATTTTTCTGAGAAATGGTAATTGGCTCAGTCATGATTGCTATTGAGTTTGTATGCTGCTGGCATACCAGGCACTTGCTGACTACAAAAGTTTTATATAACAAGTTCATGTTCATGTTGTGCCAGATGGAAGACAGACCTCCAAGTTGAGTTCCTATTATTCTACACACTCAGAATCTCAAAATCTTCCTCCAGGTCAAAGTCCTCCAATTGTTCAGTAGAGTCAATGAATTCTATCAGAATACAGAAATGAGAAAGAAAGAAAGCTTGACACTTGGGTTGATGTGGCCAATCAGTGTGTTACTTGGTGTGATGGCAGATTTTTAAATCACTTTGCTAAAGAAAGGCTGGTCTGGAGGAGACTTACAATTAGGTCTATTGCCAAGGATGAAACATTCTCTATAAAGACTTAAAATAACCAGACTTGTTACTTGTTTTCATAGGCCTGATCACAGTGATCTGGCCGATACTCTGCAAGCCCTGCCAGGTACCTTTTGAATCACCCATGGCTTCTTATTTGCTATTTCTGAACTAGAGCATCGGTGATTCAAAATCTAGTCATTTTGAATTTGCATAGAACTTTTTACACTGAGCTCATGCTCTTCTTTTGTCATTCTTTGAAATCAGCAAGTATTGGCTCAGCAGAAAATTAAAATAATCGGAAACACTATTCCTTGATCAGCCTAGCTGAGCAGAAATTTTACTGTCCAAAGAAAGCCTTAGCCACACTTGCTTCTTTCTCATAAAACAAGTGCTATAGCTGGGTGCGGTGGCACATGCCTGTAATTCCAGCGACTCCGGAGGCTGAGAGGGTAGGATTGCAAGTTCAAAGTCAGCCTCAGCAAAAGCGAGCTGCTAAGCAACTCAGCAAGACCCTGTCTCTAAATAAAATACATAATAGGGCTGGGGATGTGGCTCAGTGGTTGAATGCCCCTGAGTTCAATCCCTGGTACCAAAATAAAACAACCAACCAAACAAACAAAAAAAAAAAAAAAAAAAAAAAAAAAAAAAAAACTATGTGTAGGTCTCCTGAGCTAAAGCTCTGAATAAAAGCTTACCTGCCCCAGTGGTTGTCACTTCTGGTTTGGCTGGTGGTACAAAGGGAGGCCAGTGTGATGGATGTTTCTGAACTAATTCAAACATCCTTAAATTTTCCTTTAGAATTTCCTGGGGAAATACAGAAACAGTTGCAAATACTGCAGTCACTATGTTTCTGTCCAGTTGGCAATCTGAGACCCCAAACCCTAAGAGGTTGACAGGTTGGAAAAATGATATAGCAAGTATATATATCATCTACTTGAACCATCTGAAGACCTGAGCCATCTTCAGTTCTAGATACTGTTGGCCTGGCAGGAAGTACCCTGGAGGGAATAGCTCATGAAGCCCTATATGCATTGCCCATGTTCCATTCTAAGGCCAGAAGCCTAGGCCCAGCTCAATTTAGGGGTGAGGTATTCCTGAACTATTGGCTCCAAAGAAATTTTATTTAATCAAAATAAATATGTTCCAAGAAAATATTGGTACATAGTGGCATGGTTTCAGTTGTAATCCAACATTTAAGGTATACATTCTAATTTAAACAGACATAGTCTTATCATAAAATTCTCATTCTTGTTTTTTATTGGTCCTTTTAGTTATGCATGGCAGTAGAATTCATTTTGACATAATTATAAAAGCATAAAATATATCTTGTTCTAATTCAATCCTCGGTACCTCTTCCTCCCCTTTCCTCCCTCAGCCCTGTTCCCTTCCTTCTACTCTATTGATCTTTCTGCCATTTACCATAGTTATTTTTAGATTAATTTCTTGTTCAATTGTGATACCAATACAGTTTTGCTACACTCTGAAATATAAGTAATGCTCTGAAAAATAATTTTCTATTATATCTCAGGAAATTATTACTTGTGATTCAGATTCAGTTAAGGACAGTAGTGTTAACTATTCATTCACTTGAGAAGAAAAATATCTTTCCTCCTTATGCTTGCAAAGGCTCTGGGCTTCCTGCATCTCTTGAATCCTTTGGTTTTGCAGAGAGAACTTCACATCTCCTGCCACCCTTTCCAATGCTTTTTAAATTAACCCCTATGATCTCCCTTCATTTTTCAATAAGCATTTATCAATATCTTTCATCTATATGGAATGTGTTAGAGGCTGATAATGAGGAAGGAAGTGAAAAAGATTGGAGAGCCAGTGATATCACACAAGATACCAAAAAGAAACAGTAACTTCATGTGGATTTCTGCACATTGTGATTCCTTTAAAAGGTAGCATGTGTATATTTTATATAAGTAAGAGAGTAAATAGAGGGACAAGCTCTCTAAATCATGATGGAATATATTAAGCTATAAATGGACCACTAAAACAAGTACAAAAGTGCTTTAGGTTTCTTTAACCATCTCAGTGTTATGAATAGAGTAAGGAAGAATTTAGGATTGATCAATGTGAAATTGGCATTTTTAGGTTAAAACAATAGAATGTTGGTTGACTTTCAAATGACTTGTGTGCTTAATGGGATGAAACATTAAATTACAAGTATGTTTGAGACAAAACATACTTTCTTTGGTTTCCCCAAATTTATGCACAAATCTTCATGTCTGAAAGATTGTCTGTTGCTTAGTTTCATTCTTTTACAATAAAATTACATCAGACTAGGTCTATGTTAGTATGAAAAGCAATCTTAAAAAGGAATTAGACTGAAGAGCTTTCATGTTTAAGACTAAGGAAAACAAACATTTTTACCTTCTGAACAAGACTACACCAGTTATCAAAGTCTTTTTCTTCTTTGCAGAAAAATCCCTTGGGGGAGGGAAAGCAAAAGAACACAACTTAGAATTGCCCTTTGAATTGCAAGATAAAGGTATTGGCTGAGAATTAGGAGGTGGGTCACCCTCTTGCCCATGTGCATTTCCAGTAAGAGAGGAAGATTGGCTGGTCCTCTCTGTCTCCTAGCCCATTGCCTCACTTAGATACATACATTAGGATTTGCTTGTTCTCACTCTGTCTCTGTGCTTCTCTAACACTTGCTCTCTCTTTTCCCTGTCCCTCTCCACCCATCCTGTGAGATATTTTAACTTGAAGATGAGTCTCCAAAGCACAGGGTTAATTCTATCACATAAAATGAACAAATATGCACAATTCTATAGAATGTTCAAATAAACCAGCAAATAGAAGCCAAATAGTACTTTTAGTTAGAGGCAATACTTAATAGGTGACTTTGGCCTTTAAGGAATGGTCTATTAGAATAGACAGAGCCAGCAGTTTCCTTCTTCTCCTCAAAGATATCCCACAGTAGTTAAAGAATAGTTCATTGCAAGAGGTAGACTTGTCAGCTCTTAATCACTAGTGTTCTAACGATTGGGTTAACGGGGGAACAGACAGGCCTATAAACCCCTGGCTACTTCACAGGCAGATGCCCCTTCAATGCATGATGACAGCAATCATGCTTCCAGGGAAAACCTGTAATTTCTTGACATGTATGCATCAAGAAATGGACACTGTCCTCCCAGGAGGTATGCCCCAGCCATACCTATATTATTCCTTGTGCCCATGAGTGATAATTTGATGGAAAAGGACGAAAGGTGATAATACTAATAAGGACACTTGTAGAATACTTGCAGTGTGCCAGGCCCTCTACTAAGTGTCTTATGCACTTTGCACCTCATATAACCCTACAAGGAAGAAACTATCGTTTCCCTTGTTTTGTGTCAAAAAAAAATCCAAAACTCAGTCTATAGCTAGGAGGTAGCAGAGCATGAATTCTAACTTGAGCAGTTTGTCTCTGGGGTCCTTTCCTTTCCCATTAGATTATGCTGCCTCTCATGGGGGTGGTGAGCCATGCTACCTAACAACCTAAATAACTCCCAGGGAACCAATATGTAACAGGGTGGCATTGTACCCCCTCCCCAACCTTCAGATACTAACCAATGCTACAGAAGGATCCAAGTTCAAGATGTTCATTCTCTGTGGGGGCTGCTGGCAATGGAAAGTCTGATCATCAACCATTCCATTCTCTTCAGTGTCAACGAAGGTCTGGGTTGTGTGAGGGTCCAAAAAGATGAGCTCATCACCTGTTTTGAATGAGACATGCTTAACATTTGAATAACTACTGGCTCTGGCCCCACTGCTATCCTTAGGAAAAGGCCCCTTGGTTTTCCTAACCCCTTTCTTGGTGACAATGAGAATGGGATGACAGAAAGCCTGAAGCCAGGGTGAGCATGCTTAAAAGAAGCCACTTGTGCCCAGCTCTAATTATTCAATGAGAAGACTGACCCTAGCATTTACATCTCCTCAAAGTTCAAGTCCAAAATGGAAAGCGACATGTTTGGGAAAAGGTGGGAATGAGAGAGCACAGATGACATGGCAGGCTCTGTGAGCAGCAGTAGCAAAGAAGTGATAGTAGAGTCACCAGGCTCTGAGTCCAGGAGCCATTAGGGAGCTGTCTGCCTCTTTTGGCCTTGGAAAGCATCTCACTCAAGATCATCAGTTCTCAGATCTATGCTTAAGAGAGTGCCTCTGGTAAGGGAACAGGCCTTAACCTTCAAGAGAAATGCTACCCAGACTGAAGGGGAATTGCTAACTCTGCTGAGGACTGCTAACTCCAGGTCTTGATTTGGTAACAGGTTAGTCATTGTTAGCAAGTAAGTAAATCCTAACAGAAAGCACTATCTTTGCTACATAAACAGCAGTACAGATGCACCTCACGGGAAAACTCACTTGGAGATGCCTGGCCTTTACATATAAGAGAAAATCCACACTACATTCATTTCATTGAAAAAAAACCTAGCCCTCAAATGTCCTGGCAGGAGTTTGGGATAATAAAATATCTACTTTGACCTAATAGTTCCTCTAATGGTCATCAGCACAGGTCAAATAGGTAAAAGTACCTAAGGCAGCATCTAATCTCACTGTCCAGGCCTGAGCACCATCTGGGTCTCTGTCCTCAATTGTTTCAGGTGATAAGAGACATCTATTTGCAGCAAAAGAATGGGGTGGAGAGGGATGTCCCAAATACCCTTTCTGGTATGGCATCCAGGAATGTACATCTATATTCTTCCATTGGTAAAGAATGTATTTTTGATGTCTGTTGAAAAGTTTAACTTTTCTGTACTGTAAACCAAAGAGAAATCCTTTAACTCTGTGCTAATTTTCTTGTTTTTAAACTGGGGTCATTGGGCCTATGTGAGTTACCTCACAGGATGTTATAAGAACCAGAAGATTTCACCTCTGTGAAATATGTATAATACAATACAAATACAAGGTGATCACAGAAGTATCTTTCTTCAAATCAAAAGAATTCCCCTACAAATATACGGTATCCCCGTCTGACAAATATACGGTATCCCGTCTGAGTTGCTTTATGAAAGTCAAGGTACACATCCTCTAGACCATAGATAGGTGAGATTCATTGTATCAAAATAACCTCAGATCATACTAAAGAGTAAGAACCAAGATGTAAAGAAGGAAGCCTAAGACCAAAGAAAAGTGAGAGGATAAGGAAGTTGAAGACAAGAAAATAGAAAGGCAAAGCTAAGCTATAACCAAACTCTCTGCCACCAGAGTGTTTCCAGTTAAGGTGCTGAGAATAATAACAATGTGTCTGACTAAGCCCAGGACCTTTCCCTATGGGTGGTGTGTGTGTGTGTGTGTGTGTGTGTGTGTGTGTGTGTGTGTGTGCTGTTGTAGTAGTAGTAGTAGTGGTAGTGGTAGTGGTAGTAGTAGTAGAGCTTTACATGCTGCCTCTTTTCTGATGGTGATTATAAGAGAAGACACTAAAAATCATAAAATAATTATAGAAATTATGTGAAGACTGAATTAAGTTCTCAACTGAGGCCCAGGAAGAAGAAGCAGGCTAGTCAACCATTTACAGAGACAGGGTTAGCCCTGTAAGCATTAGTGCTGTGGTTCTCCAGGTAGCAACCTATGTCCAAGTGCAAAGAACAAACATTCCTTCTCTTGAGGCAGGCAAGACCTGACAACCAGAATCTCATCCAAGGTGGTCAGGGCCTCCCACATAGAGCTTTTCCCAGCTTCTCACCATGCAGGGGGCCACTAGGGAAGCAATGAAGTGTGGTAGGCAGAGATGACCCAACTGGGATGGAATCCTGGCTTCACAATGCTTTCTAGCTAGGTGACCTTGACAAATAACTCTTTTAATTACATAACGTAGAAGATGAAAATGACATTCTCTACCCTATGGGGATGTTTTGCAAACAGTGACAAGAAAAAAATCCATATGTGTTCAGTACAGACACAACTTTTTTCCAAATATTTTTGATCCCCGGGTTGGTCAAATCCACATATGAGGAACCCACAAATATTGAGGGCTGACTACATATTTTTGAAATATTTTCTTTGACAGGAACCTAAAAGCTTAGAAACAGAGAGCATCTTAAACTTACATAATTCCAAATACTGGATTTCATACTTAGAAAAATAGAAGCCACCAGGGGCTCCACTTTCCATTATGCTGTAGTTCTCGGGCTTTACCAGTAGATGGCAGCATTGGAAAGAGCAGAGGCAGCTGCTTAGCAACCACCCTCTAGAGGAAGCCAGGAATAACAAAGGAGTTGGGATGAAGCCACCTTTCACTAAGAGTATACGATCTATGTACTTGGCTCTTTTCTGAAGGCTTTACTGCGACATGACCTAATGGTGAGTCAGGCATTAGCTTATTTCACATAAGAACCTGAGACTGAAAAAGTTGATATCCTCTCCCTATAGTCATACTGCTAACAAGTAGGCGACTGATGTGTAACGTTAGGTATGTCTGCCTGTTACCATCCCACCAAACCTTCCCAAATCTCTGAAGACACAGGTTGGGGAGGATGATCAAGGCCATCTCCACCATGTCCTACATACATTCCTTCATGTCATTCCCTTATAACTGCTCTAGCTCTCCTTGCCTGGTGGCCAATCTAACTTCATAACTTCCTTGAAGCCCATTCTCTAAGCACTCTATTCCTGCCAAAGGCATCCTGTGCCAAATTCCCCTGGATGTATGGCTTCCCTGCTTATGGTCTTCAGCACTAACTGGGTATCTGGGCCCTGAGTACTCAAACCATGGTCTATGGACCAGCAGCATTGTACCACCTAGTTACAAAAGTAAATCTTAGGCTCTGCCCCACACATACTGACTCTGCATTCTATTAGCTTCTTACAGTCACCTGGGTACATTCAAGTTTAAAAGGCACTGGGCTAGCTCATTTTGTGTGATCAGAGCCTTAAATGTCTTTTGCCACAGATAGTAAGGAAGATGCCTAGGTCTCCAGAGGTGTTGATCTATGCAGGAAATTCCAGGCTGCTCAGTTAAGATCCACATTAGGAGGTTAGTGGTTTTAAGGCTTAGCTCTCACTATTGGGAAAGAGAAACTTTCATCTTTGTCACCTCTAATTTCCACCCTGGCATGACTCTGAACATTGAATAAGCAAGCCCAGCTATTGGGGCATGGGAAGCCAGAGAATGTACCGCCTAACCTGATTGCCTGAACCTCCATAAGAAGGAGATCAACAAAGCTAAGGGACAGAAACCTCACTGCCCTGGGTTCCACAGGCAGGAAAGAGATGTTCTGGAGCAATATCGTGACCTTGGGGCAATCCCATGAGAAATTGAAACCATTTTATCAAGAGGAAAATATGGAGGTACTGAAAAGGAACCTGCTTTCCATCAGGCATAAGGCAGCATTACCCTTTGTAGGTCAGGCTAAACCCAGAAGGAGCTGACCAGAGGTCAGAATATCCCTGAGCTAGATGGGGGCCCACTTACTGGAACTGCCTGGTCTCCCATGCACACCTTCACCCCATACCCTCCCCTAACCCATGATGACTTACTTGCGATTCATCCTTTCTTACCTAAGAATCCTATGAAATAATAGGCGTTATTTGGCTTTCCTCCTAATGCCCCTAAAGACTGTGGCATCTTAAAACACTCCTAGAGGGAAAGAGAATGCAAGATTCTCAACTCACTTGTGGACTGCTGCTCACGGATCTCTGTGCTGACATGGCGGTGTGATGGGCAGGAAGCAATGGGCTTGGGGAAGAAGCAACTTACTTTGAACGCATCTACATACACAGGATTTATTTGGTTTATGCCCAGGCGAAGGGGCACAATGAGCAGCAGGGGTTTCCAGGCTAGGCTGAAGGCAGAGGTGCCTTTACTGTGGTTTGAAGCAGTCAGAGAATCAGAGATGCTTTCATCAGCTGTGTCAACACTCAAGGGTAGGACACAGCACATTTTTTCTAGAAACAAAAGGCAAGAGAGCTGGGTGAGTAAGAAGTATCTAGCCCTAGGAGATACTACAAAGATAAAACTAACAGGGACCTCACATGCTCCCTATCTTGCCTGGTAGGCCCCCACCCCAGCCACCAGAGCCCATCTGGCCATACTTCCTATAGGAAGCCTAAGCCATTCCTTTAGCTTCATGATCTTCTTGCTGGCCCATGAGCACTTGCTTAGCTCAGTACAGGTATTTTGGGCTCATGGAAAGAATCTCATTTCTCAACTAGCCTGCAAGTCTTGACAGGGACTTTGTCTTTGGGTTTCTCTAAATCCCATGGCAAGGTACACAGGCTTGGACAAGGGTTGGCCTCCATGAGACATCTACTGGTAGTTTAACAGATTATACAGAGTTTGGCTGTCCTGCAGGGAAGGGAACTGATACTTCTTTGAGAGGCAGCAAAACCCCCTAATGTTTTTCTCCCATTAAGAAGGCTAAAAAGAAAGAGAAGCAGAGCCCTGTGTTTCTCTGGCAGAACAGGCCAGAGAACCCCAGATTTTCAAATGGTGAAGAACAAACTCATCACCCACCAACCAGGAAGGTAAACAGGCTAGGGAACTCACTGATATCTTCAATGACCACTGTGTTATCCATTGAAACATAAACAGCCAAGGAATTCCACTCATCAAATAAAGCAAGTTTTCTGCAAAGGAACACATAATGAGTCACAATCAGGGAAATGGAAATAGTAGGAAGCAGTACAATTTATGCCCAGTGTTTCTGATGTCACCAGAGAGGCTGGTGTTTGGGTTATCTCTGGCTCCTTTGAAAGAGCTCTGGAACATTCCATGTCTAGGGACTATCTTTGAATCTCAGAAAGAAGACTCCACTTCCCAGCATGGAAACATATATCTCATAAACGATGGTACTCCTACTGAGTGAAAAAGGAAAGTTACCTATGTATCTGACCCCTAAATCCCAAGAGATTTTGTTTCCTTAAATAAAGACATTCTGACTGACACCTTGTCTTAAAAAAAAAAAAGAGGAAATAATGTTGTCATTATATATATAGGACTTGGGTGTAGGTCAGTGGTAGAGCACTTGAACAGCATGCACAAGATCCTGGGTTCTATCCCAGCACCATATATATATATATTTGGAGGGGAGCATAGATAATATGCATAGTGAGTCTCAGGAAAGAAAGAGAGAGAAAGGGGGAGAGAGGAGGGGAGAGAATGAGAGAGAAAGATGCATTCTTATTTCCTTCCCAGCTACATTGAGAACCCTATTTAAAGAAACTTAGACCACATATGACTCAAGTGTGTGGGCCTTACTAGTCAGTGGCTGAAGAGAGACAGTGTCAAACTGCATGACATCAGGGCAGATTACTAAGAAAACCCTTTTAAAGGAGAGATTAGCTGAGGCTGAAGTAAATCACCCTTCCCATTTTCCCCTTACCTTCTTCCCTTGCCAGTTTGAGAAAAGACATGTTTAACTTGGCTACTTCTGGGTTATATGAGTAAAGTCCAGTCTCATTGGACAAAAGAAAAAAAAACATTCTCTCTATCAAAGAAGCTCCCAGGAAGAAGTTAATTAACATTACACCTGTATTGCATTCATTTTATTTTTTTACTTATTTTAATTGGTATATTATAATTATACATAATAGTAGAATTCATTATGTCATATTTGTACATATACATTCACTTTAATGCATTATTTTTTCCCATAATAATAAAAATGATGATGATGGTATGAGACATTCCTCAACTTATGATGGTGTGACCTAAAACTTTTTGACTTTACTGTGATGCAAAAGCAATACACATTGAGTATCAGGATCTTTCCCCAGTTTAGTGATATACCACCCAATACTCTCTGTTGTTGTTGTTGTTGTTGTAATAATAATAATAATAATAATTATTATTATTATTATTATTATTATTATTATTTTAGTACTAGGGATTGAATCCATTGGTACTTAACTGAGCCACATCCCCAGCCTCTCTTATTTTTTGTTTTGAGACAGGGTCTTGCTAAGTTGCTCCTAGCCTTGCTAAATTGCTGAGCCTAGCTTCAAACTTGTGATCCTCCTGCCTCAGCCTCCTGAGTCACTGGGATTATAGGCATGCAGCACTATGCCTGGTGCATCTGATACTCTCCTGTAATGGTGGGCAGTGGCAGTGAGCCACAGCTCCTAGTCAGCCACAGGATCACAAGGGAAACAGCCCATACTCTACAATGGACCATATTACTAAGCTGTAATGTTCAGTAAGTTAGATATATTCAATGTGCTTTCAACTCATGATATCTTCAACTTACAACAGGTTTATCAGGCAGTAATTCCAGGAACATCCATATTGTTGTTAATGACAACAACCACAATAGTCAGAGCCCACATAAATTATGTGGGCTAAATTATGTGCTTCCATTTGTTTACTGTTAGGAACCTCAAAATTCAGAAGAAAGAAGGAAATTCTAAGGGAAGTAATTAAAAATCAGGTTCTAGGCTCAGCATAGTAGTTCTAACCTTCTACACTTTCTGCCCGGGGTTCCTAGAGCAGTTCCTGAAAGACTGCCACTTCCTTGCTCAGCAGAGTCAATGATACCCAAATGACACTCTTGACTAAGGCAAAAATGTGGTTTCCTGTTAGGAAAATTACATTATAAGTTTTCCTTCAATCCCGAGAAAGCCCAGACTGCTCCCAACACATGCATATTTCCAAAGCAGTTTAGTTAATTACTTAGTGGAATAATTGCTAATAATTGAAACAGGTCCCCTTCTGTACTTTACATGGAGTAGGCCCTGCCATAATGCCCAGGAACTGAAATACACTGTACCAAAGGATGCCTGATAGTTTCATTCTTCTCCTCCCTAAATCTGGCCCCAAATTCTAGCTGCCATTTTCATTCATTCATCAAGCATTTATTGAGTATTTATGTGTGCCATGAAGTTTTATGTGCAGGAGTTACAGAGTGAACAAGAAAAATCTAGCTTCTGCCCTGAGTTTTCATTAACAAACTGTCAGGAAGGAAGGAGGGACAAGAAGAAAGGTGGCCTGCGCAGTATAGGAACATCAGATGCCCCATTAACTTCTGAAAAGCTGAACCTGACCTTTCCTGTTACATTTGGAGACAAATTCTGGAATTTAACAGGATAACTGCAAAAAGTACCACACTGGGCTACCTTGAGTCAGCTAAGAGATGACAAATGGGTGAGGAATTCCCTAGGGGAATTCCCTAGGGGTTCCTCTCCTTCAATAGGCAGTGAGTTCTGCTAGTTCATTTCAACACTTAACATAAGAAAGGCACCAGTAAACCTTAAATGAATTAATTAATGGATTTTTAAACTATGGGGGGGTCCATTTCTTGCTTAGACTGGCTAAGCCTCTACTGCTTAATCCTTTTCACTTCAAAGGACCCCCAGGCTAATAACTCCCTGGCACAAGCACATCAATCTGTAGGATGAGCTACTGGATAAATCCTGGGGTAAAGCCATATGTACTGATACAGTAGATACAACTGTGTTAAGCCAAGATAGAGGTCCACACGTATACATTTCAAAGAACTGTCTGAGCAAAATAATACAGGTGTTTGATGGCTTAGTGGGAATGCAAGAATACTTAGGTTGATGGAAGGTTTAGTTGGCTGGAGGGGGGAAGCATAGGAAATGGTAAAATAGGCAAATGCTAGACTCTTTTACTTACTTTAACACCTGTGCAACTGTGTTTGGTCCAAACCATTCGCCAATTGATTTCCCTTCTCCTACACCCATTTGTGCTGTTTTTATGTGGAAAAAATTGACATGTTAGCAAAATATCTTCCAATGAGCCACAAACTCCTAAATGTTTGCATAAATAATTAAGCAGATGGACAACTTATAAAAGTCACTTATATAAGGCAGAAAAAGAAAAAGATCAGGTATAGGTATTCCTTTCAAACCACTAATTAAGGATCTTACCCATTTGATGGATAGAATAGCAACAGTCTTTTCTATCTAAGAAGCATTGTAGAATCCGTTGATATTCTTTGGGTTGTTCTTTTTGTTTCTCCCAGTTCCAGTCTTTTGAAGAAAAAAAAGAGCTAAAATCATTATTATAACTGTTTTTTACCTCTTAGCACTCCTATTGTAACTACAAAGTAGAAGGAAAATAAAGGTATAACATCTAGAAGACAGGAATGATGGAGTTAGAATATTCCTAAGTATCTTTCATCTGGATGATAAAGACATCTGGAAACTGACTATTTTTCAAAGACTCAGTGGATATAAAGTAAAAGCCAAATAAGTAGTTGACCAAGGATTTGACTTAATTCAAGGACTGGAGCTAGAAAGATATTATATAAAAATGGTATCACCAAAGGTCCTTCTGGCCAGCTATTGTAAATAGGAAGTCAACAAAAAATTGGCAGTGTATCCCTGTATAGCCCAAATGCCATAATATCTCAGCTCCAAATGGACAGCAATGGCTTTTCCCTTACATTCTGGCAGTATCACCAAAAGGGTCTCACAGAAGGCTAGGGATGGGGTCTATTCTGACATATAGCAGTTTACAGGGAAAGATACATAATTCACAGCTAAGGAAATTTTTTAAAAATTGCATGCTTCCATTTTTATAACACCTTTTAAAAAGTCCGGGCTGAGCTTTGAAAAAAAAAAATACCTTTGCTATCAGGTGTTTGAGGCTTTCGTAAGACCACAGCCAAAATCACTGCAGATGTAGGAATTCCATCTGTGCCTTAGGAACAGCCCCCCAAATCCTACATAGGCCACTTAGAACTTACTGATGACAATTACAGAAATGCTATTTAATCAAAGCTATGGACAGGATGCACTACTCCCATTCTCTCTGTTCTAGGAATTCTGTCTAATGGGACAGATTTCTGAGGCTTAGTTTATGTCCAAGACATAAATTTCTCTCCTGAGGTTTTAGAGAGAGCCTGAATTAATGGCTAAAATGCACTTGAAGCCAAAGGCCATTATCTTTAGACTCTTCAGTTCCCTTTTGCTTCTGATGTTTCTAAAACCAAAGTCTTAAACTTCAGATCCAGCACATCCTTCAAAAGGTGAACCACATCCAACTTTTTCTCATAAGCTACTGAATTGTCCAAGTCTGGGGAAATCCTGATTAGCTGGCTGCTAAGTACCATTAAATATTTGCTGATGACAGTGCTAAGTGAACACTGCCTCTCCATTTTAAAGTGACTGAAGAAGAATCAATCCAAAAGACTTCTTTACAAAGTTACATATTTTAATTCACCTTAACTACAAGGTTGCTTTCCAAATGTTTCCTACTACTTGCTTTTATATTGCAATGATTGAGACTGCTGACTGTGGCTGTTCCCCATTTCCAAAATTTACTTCCAGAAAAAATTATCTCGAAGTGTTTTATAAGTGAGAAAAACTTAAATAATAAGAAGTGATCTATATCAAGAATATGTGTACAGTAGAGAAATCACTGGACAAGGAGTCAGAAGATCTGCATTCTATCCCCCATCTATGTATGGTCCCTTCCTGTTTGACCTTGAGCAAATCACCTCACCTCCATGAGCCTGTTTCCTCATCTGTAAAATAGAAATTATGATACTATCAGTGACACAGGATGTCCTAAAGCCTGAACAAAAAAATGGCAATATGCCTAAAAACCTCCCCAGCCCTTCGCTGATCCTCTTTGAAAACTGTAGCAGGATCTTTGAGCTTATATAGGTGGGGAACAGGAGCGAAGTTTCCATACCTCAATTAGCAATAGCCAATGAATTCAGCAGCCCAATCTCATCCAAAATGTCCTTTCACTCTCTCTTCCCAAAGTCTAAATGGACTTTCACCCAAGTGCCTGAACTGGCATCCAGCCAGAGTCATCCTCCAGATGCCCACAGGGAAGCACACACAATGTCTTTAAAAAAGCAAGACTCAAAGAGTTCCAACAATGGTTACCCGAAGGTTCTTAATTAATGAAGCTTGCTCCTGAGGAAGCTAATGTAAGGATTCCTTCATCATCAAATGGACATCCTCAGTGAACCAAAAACGAAAATAGCACCAGCTCCCTCATTAGGCACTTCCTTTAGGTCACTTCCATCCTTCATCAGATGGGTATTTTAAATGAGGTCAAGAAACAGACTTACCACCACACCCTTCTTCCTGCTCCCTTTGTTATTTGGTATTTTTAAACAATAGCAAAGATGGAAACTCCAAATGACACACCTGCCTCAATGCTCAATTCTGTCCCAGGAAAATAACCCTCTGGCTTGATGAGTCACAAGGAAATGCCAGTGTTTCCTTCTTATGAAGGACCTCATTCACTTGTCAGCCCCACCTCTTGAGTTTGCAGAGAGCAATTTTAGAGCCTGCAGCTTTGTTACTGAGTGTTCCTAAAGCTGAGTATTAATGTTAAACCAATAGCAGCAAGTGATACTACAGAGTTCTCTGAAGCAGTTTATAGAAAAATGGAACTCACCCCTTCCTAAGTGTCTACAGATAAGGGCTTGAGCCAGCATCATCTGTCCACAGCGCAGCATACATCCCCAGCCAGCATCTGATGATGGGCCCGTTCCCCCTGTTGGCAAGATGGATGAGCGTGACTTATGAATGGGTTCCTTAAATTGCCCTTTCCTGAGGCATCAGCATATCTGGGACTCACACAAGACAGGCATTCTTTGAAAACAGAGGCAAGAGATATACTGGGATCAAACAGGATTTGGGTACAGGGTTGGAAATTGAAATAACAATGCTGAATCAATCAAAATGGGTTCTGTGGCCAAAGACAAAACAAACAAATGAACTAAACCTGCCCTTTGGATTTTCTGCTTGGAGACATCTAGGTATGCATGCAATTTTGATAGGTGACTGTACTGAAATGTATGACTAGCAACAGTTAGTCCATTCAATGTCATCACTCGCCAGACCAAACTGCCCTGCACAGCTCATTTGCATGGCTCTGAACTTCTCAGAGAAGCCAGTGTTGCCTTAGTTTAAGAACAAATACTATGAGAGGTAGTCATCAAAATGGCCAATGAGATTCGGAAGGCTCTTAATTGTTATAAATAAATATTATGAAGATCTCAACAACAAAGACAATTTAATATAGAGGAAAGAGCCCTAGATTAGGCATTAGAAGACCAGTCTAGTTATATATCCAAGTCTCATTTATAGACTGGGGATAATAGTACATACTCTGTGTACATACTCTATAGGTGTCGTGAGACTTAAATGAATGTGTGCTAGAACCCATGCAGGATGATACAAACACTTGATGTTATGAGAATAGTCATAATATAAAATAATAAGACAAGTGGGCCAAGGTTTCCTTTTGTTGTAAGGACTGAAAGAAATTTGCTAAAGTGAAATAGGGAGAAGTAAGACAATTTGTGAGCTGGAAGGGATGTCCTTTGCTCTTGCTAATGCTGGAATTATAGGCCAGAGTAGTATGAAAAAGGTGCAATGGGGTCCACATAAAGAATAAATTGTCTATTCCCAAAACATTGTCAGAGTGAATTGGAAATGCCTTTCAGACTTGCAAAGACCTCCTCACCCAGAGAAAGTTAACAGTTTGGAAACACTGGGTATTCTAGATTGTTTTTTTCTGTTACTGCTCGGAGGACTTTTTGTGAAGAGCAAAGAAAATGTCTATGTAGACTTCATATTTGCTCATTCACAGAAAGGTTGATTTCATTTCAATTACAAGGTCCATTCCTGTGTCAAAATTGGTCAGGTTTCTTCTTAGGAGAGTACCTTCTACCATTTGTAGGCCCTTTTCCTATAGGTCCATATTAGGAAGTAGCTACCCAGCTTGCAAACATTTTACAAATCCTCTCAAAAGGAGCGTACTTATTAGCTTTTAGAATGGTCTTTTTTTTTTTTAGATGGCAGCTAGAAATGGATTAAAATTAGTTCTAAGAAAATCTACTCTAATTCTTCCCCCAATGTCAAGGTGCTTTCATTTAATAAGAAAAAAAAATCAAAGGAATGATTTTCTTCCCTTCAAGATACAAATTGTCCTTAATAATCAAGTAGTTCTACAAAGCAGTAGACTATAATTTAATTGATGTTACCCAAAATAAAAGCTTATGTTATTCTTTCTTTACTCTCAAAAGTAAAACAAGTAATGACATCTGGTGCCAGAACACTTGGCAGTAGGGTCAAAACTATACTGCCATAACATGTCAACACTGTGGAACCATATGTGATAAGGTATTTCAGCAATGAACTATTTGGATGAAGTGTGAGACCTTCCAACCTCCCTAAATCAAATTATTTGCCATAGTGAGCTGTGAATTCTGAGGTTTCTGTGAAGTCACTGATAACCTCAGACAAGCTATCTAAAAGGAAGAAAGCATAACAAATGGTATACCTACCAATTGGTGAAAATTTCCTTCTGTATGTAAACCATAGACGAGCACTTATATCAGACAACAGCTTAGATTTTTCTGTAATTAAATGTGAAATTAAAATTAAATCACCATATCCCATCTAAAAATGTCTGCATTTGACTTCTAAGCCAGAAGCAAAACTTATTTTCAAATAACTATTCAATTCCATTGTTATGGGGCTAGGGAAATTAATAGGAAACCTAATCTCATTTTAGTCAAATAATTTCAATATTTCTCCTCACCACAGCTACTCTACTAATTGATTCAATGACACTGCATAGTTCCTGTCTCTTTCTCATTCAGCTACATAGTCTTCCCAGGTATTAATACTGAGGTCATGGCCAAAAGACAATGAATAGGAAATGCTAGGATCTGAGATAGTCCACTAATAAGGCAATCATCCCCAGCCTGAATGATAGTTGTTGGATGGATCTCTCATCAGTGCCCACAATCTATTACCTAAAACTAAGGGATTGTATGTTTGTGTATGAATGTGTTTGTGTGTGTGTGTGTGCATTCATTTAACAGAATAAGTATAAGTGCATTCATTTAACAGAAAAGGAATTGTCCCTGCTAAGCAAATTAAGTGTGTGAGAAATTTATCTGTAGTACCTAACGAAACTGGTATTCATAATCTAAATGAATATATAACATCTCCAATGTTTTTGTGTATTTTTCAAAGCATGCTTTCTTGTATTTTATGATGTGAATTTAATTCCATGGCCATAGATATGGCTTCCTCATTTCCACCTATATTTAGATGTGGTTCTGTGTTTCTTAGTCATCTCTCTCCCTCTTTTCAACAGCACATTCATATTTGCATTCTGTATATAATTTATACAGTTGTTGCACTTTAGAAGAAAATCCGGCACAGTGGCATATGCCTGTAATCCCATCTACTTGAGAGGTTGAAGCAAGAGGATTGCAAGTTTCAGGCCAGCCTCAGCAAGTTAGGAGACCCTGTGTCAAAATAAATAAAAAGGGCTGGGTATGTAACTCAGTGATAGAGAACACCTTTGCCCTGAAACTGAAAAGTCAGCAGCTTGAATCTAATAGAAGCAAATCCTTTCCCTTGAGAAACAAAGACACAAGCTCTCACAATCCTTTAGTTGAAAGATTTTCTCTTTACATTTGCTGTATTGGTGGTTCAATCCCTGGTACAGAAAAAAAAAAAGGAAATTCAACTTTTGCAAATATTTTCTATTTTCTCTCCTTCCTTTCCTTTAAGCAAATCAGAAAGTTGAGCTTTCTAGATTTTCCTTCCCTTTCATGCCCCCATTACCTACCACATTTTGTGATGCAGATGTATAATGGTTAAAAAAAAGTAAGATTTCTGGAGTCATACTCTAGCTGGGTTTAAACCCTGATTCTGCTGCTTATCAGCTGTGTAGCCTTGTTACTTAACCTTTATGAGTTTCCATTTCCTCATCTATAAAATGGGGAGAATTATAATATTTTGTTGAATTGTGAGTATTCAACAAAATAATATAGGTAAAGTGCTTAGACAGTGCCTGGTATACAGTAAGCCAGTGCCAAATGTTAGCTGTTATTATACCTGCCTCTCAAACACTGACCCCACTTGCTCTTGCCTCAGCAGTCCCTATGCCTTCTAGCTTGGCTTTATGGTGGAAGGTTGTGCAGACATTTTAATGATACTTTCACTTTGAAAGACATTTCCCAACATTTTATTTGAATATGGGCCTATTTGGCAACCTGGGTATACCTGCTATGATGGATAGCAGAAGTAGAAAATGTCCTCTCCAATCCCCTCATTTTAAATACTAGGGAAGGAAGTTAAGATCTAGAAAGATAAAGTGACTTACCTGAATTAGGAGAAGAATCTGAACATGCAAAGTATCCTAATTACTAGCTCCAGGAAGTCAGACTCAAGAGAAGGGGCAAGGCCTGCCTCCTCTCCTGTCTTTTGATCAGCTTCTTCCTGTTCCTTACCTCATTCTAAGGGCCTCCGAAGAAGTTCTCTCCTTAGAATGATAAAAATCTCAGATCTACCTCTTTTGAACTCAGATTTATCTGGGTGCTGGGATGTTAGCAGTTTCAGGGCAAAAAGTTCTTTCCCAATCTATAAGAATGTGATGGTAAGGAAGAGAAATTCAAGTTCCCTTTCCATCTAACTGCAGAGGCTAAACGTTCTATGTAAAACCAGAATAAACTGAGACAGTGTTCTAGTCAGAAAAGATCTAAAACATAAGAATTCTCATATTTCTGAGAGTCATGATTTGTTTAGAAGTCCCTGGTGTTTTCATCTAAAAAGATAAGGATGTGAGATGAATGAGAAATATATAGCCTAGTCACCAAAGACTAGATATTGGTTAGTGATACCAGTAGATCTGTGTTTTTGAAACCCAAGACTTCTATAATTTGGGGTTCTCCTTTAAGGAAAAGAACAAAAATACATTTTTTTTTACAAATTGCATAAAACCTATACCCCTATGAACACAGTGCTAGGGCCTAAGGGCCTTGGAAGGGGCCTATGAGGTAAGCAAGGGGCCTGAAGCTTAGATTCCATTCTCTACATGATAAATCCTCCTCAGAGTAACATCAACATTTATCAAGGTAATGCTCTGTCAACTCAAGAAGTAAAAAAGGATAGGTCCTTAACCTCAGGTGCCCACCTTAGTTGGCTTCTCACAGACAAATGCTACCAAAACTTACCTGTTTTCAGGAGATGCTGCTTCCCCAAGATCCATACCAGCTCATCTGTATCTGGAAATTCTTCTAGGTAGTCAGTGAAAATAGTAATCTGGTTTTCACACTTGGACAAAACTGAAAGAAAATGAAAGAAAGAAACACAAGCAAAATTTAATAAAAGGTCCTTACTTCAGTGGTTTGCTGATTGTTACCTTTGCTCTGAAACTGAAGAGTCAGCAACTTGAATCTAATAGAAGCAAATCTTTTCCCTTGAAAAACAAAGACACAAGCCCTCACAATCCTTTAGTTGAAAAGTTTTCTCTTTACATCTCTCTCTCCTTTTTTTGACCATTTCTTTCTCACAATCCCATTTAAAACAAAATTCTAAAAAATTTGGCCACAGTTGCTTTAAAACTTTTTTTGTCCACCATGTGGCCTTCTTTGTAAATAGCCACTTAGCAAACTTCTCCTAGCAGGAGTGTATCAAGGTAAAACAATAATACCCGTGTAGCTCATTACTACTCACATCACAGGGGGTATCACAATGTTTGTACGGTAAGGTTTCTAGTGGCCAGTGGCTTAAAGGAAGCTATGATAAGCCCTGGAAGATTGTATAACTATAAAAATGGGAATATTTTAGCTGAAAGACCAGATGTTTTCACAGTATTTTTATTTCCCATTTTATTCACATATGGCTTCTGCAAAGAAGACTCTTGAGGCTGATAATAAATATAACTTGTTCTTGGGATTCACAATGTCTAGTGGGATATTGTGATATAATATGAAATATATACTTAGTCTCTGTCCCTGTTTTCTGGCACAGAGCTCCTAAAAACATTTGTAATTTCTTGAATTCTGAAGATGCCAGGTGCATCTTCTGTTCTGATACTTGGTCTCTGACTCCAGTTCCAGACACAAAACTTCTAATCCCTCAAAATTCCATGGATGATAGGAGCATTCTTTTTTTAATTCTAATAGGGTGACTTTGGTGGGCTCTTTGAGGGGGGCTTGGGACCAGAAAGACCCAAGCAATAATTAGAAGCTTAAGAGCTTCAACACATCACCACCCTCAAGGAAGGACAGAGAGGCTGGAGATTGAGTAAAAAATTAAAGTAAATTAAATTAAAAACACCACACCTACATGATGAAGCCTCCATAAAAATCCCTGCACTCTAGGGTTGGGAGAGCTTTTGGGTTGCTGAACATGTGCAGGTGCCTGGAAGGTTAGTGTTCCTGGAGAGAGCAGAGAAGCGCCACACCTCTTCTCCCTTTTCTTGCCCTCTGCATCTCTTTTATCTGGCTATTCATCTGCATCCTTTCCAATATTGTTTATAATGAATAAATGAATATAAGTAAAGTGATTCCCTGATTTCTGTGAGCTATCTTCACACATTATCAAACCCAAGGAAGGGGTAGTAGGAACCCCAAGACCCAGACAGTCAAGAGCACAGGTCACAACCTAGGATGGGACTTGTAACTGGCATCTGAATTGGGAGCAGTTTTTGTGGCACTGTGCCTTTAATCTATGGAACACTGACTCCAGGTAAATACCGTCAGAACTAAATTAAATTATGGGATGTCTTCTTGGTATCTGCTAGAGAATTTCTTGGTATGTGAGGACACCTCCCCACACACCAATCTGGTGTCAGAAGTGTTGAGTGCTGAATGTGGGTGTATCAAAAAACAATCTGTTTTTTTTCCTATTTTATACCACAATGGTTATCTCTCAAGATAAAGTAACCAAATAAAATAAAACTAAACTTTATTAGTTTATAGGCCACACTTTCAGAACTTATGACATGTAATATGAGAGAAGTTAAAATTCAAATTTACCCATGAGGAACAGGTCTGTAAAACAAAACAAAACTCAAGACAGACACATGAAGGGATGCTATCTCCAAATTCTTTGTAATTTTCCAAGAAAATAATATTCTATATACTAAATAAATTTCTAAGCCAGTCCACTAAAATCTATTTTAATTTGTAACCAGAAAAAATAAATTTATAGGATATGCATACTTTATAGTGCTATTTGTATACGAAAATATACTTCAAGTTCAAAGCTAAGACACTCAACACACACCTTCTCTTGGTTCTTGGAGGCTCCCTGACTTTTTTTTTTTTTCTTTTAGTACCAGGGATTAAACTCAGGGGCACTCAACCACTGAACCACATTCCCAGCCCTATTTTGTATTTCATTTAGAGATGGGGTTTCACTGAGTTGCTTAGTGCCTTGCCATTGCTGAGGCTGGCTTTGAACTCGTGATCCTCCTGCTTCAGCCTCTCAAGCCACTGGGATTACAGGCGTAAAACATCACTCCCAGCAGCTTCCTGAGTTTTATTGAGGCAGGGAGCTCAGAGAGAGAGTACAGGTCCCTTTGTGCAGATGTAAGTAGCTTCAGGGACACTCCCAAATAGTCCCTATACGGATGTAGTTTCCTGTGCAAATGGCATAGTAAGATATGTTTAATTCATTTGAAAGGACAAATTGTTTTGATTTTGTTTTCAAAGGCAGAAGCATGCTGTCTTCACAGAAATAAATGTTCCTAAATATAAAGCAAGCCTATTCTGATCAGGAAAACAGGTTTATCTGCTCAAAATACCCCATTGGAAATTGAAGTTACAATCTGTAAAGCACTTTTAGAAATAGCCAGCCTGGGGTACTTCCTTTCTTGAAACATTACCAAATTCCAGTCTTTTAGAGATTTAAATAGCTTTTGTCCTCAGTATGTTTTAATTATTAAAGATTATAGTCTCTGCAGGGTTTCAAACCTAAAGAAGTTAGAAATCAAACCACCATTTTGTTCCCCAGTGAAAACTCATCACCACCAAATCTGCCAGGGAACCTGTGCCCTCTTAGCCTCTCTGCTGCTGGCCTCAGCCTCTGGCCCACACTCAGGAAATGCCAGGCTAAAAATGATCATTCAGGTCAGGCCATCCCCAGGAGGTGGTGGACTGAGGCGGGGTAAATCACACTGTGTAACTCTGGACTCCACCCTCTATCCCTCACAGGCAGGAGAAATCAGGTGAAAATGAACACCCACTACAGCCTAGAAAGAAAATAAAAATCAGAAAATTAGCTGCTTGAGAGAACTGTGGGAAAAGGGCACACTCTCTTGCACCCTGGAAGGAGTGCGGAACGGTGGCATTGGATCAATGTACGGCAATGTATGCATATAAGCCTTAGGTCTTTTTTTAGTACTGGCCAAAAAAAAAAATTCTCTATGGCCAACCCTGTCCCAGTGACTCATTGCCCAGCTATCTGGTCAAATTAGTACAGCCCTTTAAAGTCTGTGACAACTGCCCTGCTTCATTTGGGATGACTCTGAGCAAAATGGTAGCCAAAGAATTTGACTCTGGCTCTTCACACCTCCCAGGCCCAGCTAGGCTAGCAAGAAGGTCATTACAGTCTCTATTCTTCTTGACTCTTACAAGATAGATGGACAGAATGCAGGGTGTCCAACCATTGCCAGCCTTGAGTCAAAGCTACATGAATGGAACAAATGAAAACTATAACAGAAAATGACATTAACAGAACAGAAGAAGCAAAGAGCAGTGATGGGGAAGTTATATATAAGTGGATTTGGGGAAGAAAGAAGAATGGGGTCCTCTACAAGGACTTAGAAAACAAAGACATCTGGGAAGTGTTTGAGGTGTAGAAGTAAAATCTAATTTCCAACAAAAGTACTTGTGACTAACAGCAATACTTTTCATAAAAAAATTTCTTTCACAAACTACATTTGTCTTGCCTTTAAAAGTTAACAAACCAGATATTGACCTGATATCAGTTCCCTGCCTGTCAGCCTGTTTAAAGAGGAGGAGACACTACAGTCAGAGAATATACAGCTTGGTGGACCAAGAAATAACTGCTCTAAGGCCTGAGGGACAATAGGCTGCAACCTGTTACATTTTACTTTGTTATATTGAAGGTTCTGTTGGGCTAGCTTAGCAGCCAGTTAATAATAGCACAAAGCTTTCCTTAAACTCCTAAAACCAAAAAGTCTACCAGTGTCAGGACTGTGTTTGTAGCTCAGTGGTAGAACACTTGCCTAGCATGTGGGAGGCACTGAATTGGATTATATCCTCAGCATCACATAAATAAATAAATAGTATTGTGGCCATCTACAACTAAAAGAAAAAGGTCTACCAGTCTTGGTCAAAAGGCTCTATGTACATGTTGAGGCATGTCTTAAACTCCCAGCCAGGCAAGCATAGAACTCAAGATCAGCTAGAGTGAGTGTTTAGGTTCTATTCAGGTCTTTTTTGAGCATGCACACAGCTCTGGGTATGCATACGTGTGGTCGATATAAGGTCCTTGCTTAGCATCTGGATGGCCATCTTAAGTGACCGCCACATTTTAAGGAAAAAGTTTCACTTTCTGCCCAAGGGTGTTTCTGAGAAAGGCCCTCATACCAACCCAACCCTTAACCACCATTAGGACCCTCTCACCCCACTCTGATTCCTGAGCCTCTTCCATAAAATTCCCAGGACTCAAGCCTGTTTTGCCTCTCTCTCCTACAGAAAGATTGCCTTTATTTGTCAACTCTGACAAATAAACTCTTGTGTGTATCTCCGCTTGGTCTCTTTCATGTCTCACTCACCCTTCTCTTATTCCTTGCTTCCCCTTCAGTTGAGATTCCTAAGAATATGCCCCTGCTTTTTACAGCTTCATGGAATCTTATTCCCCATTTTTTCCTTTTAATATTTTTTGGTTAGTTGGAAATATTATCTACTGCTTTAGGCAGCTTAGAATTTAATTGATTGTCTTTAATGGTGTTTGTTTGTTTTTTAAGATGCTGGTAGAAGAGTTTCTGTGCCTCAAGGCAGATCAAATAAATACTGTCTTATAAGTAGCATCTTCCAGGTTACCACAAGACAGATAGAATTCTCTAGAAATGAAACTTTAAAGGAACTCCAACCCCATTTTTCTCTTTTGTTGGCTGCTAGGGTGCTGCATTTCCCTGTGATGATACTCTGTTGATTTTGAAAGCTACTGCAGAACAACATTAGAAAGAATTTGGAATAAGGCAAGTGAAAACACCACAAAGTTTACTCTTACAAACATTTTGTCAGTCTTCGTGGATAAATATTCTCAGAATTGCTGCAAGCCTTTAGTTCATTTCCAGAGTTCTGAA